ACAGATATATACAGTAAATACTTTGAAATTGTCGACCAAAACACATCACTGGTGCATCATAATTTGCTATTTGTATGGCCAGACTCTGGTTTAGTGATATAATCTTTGATAAATTCTAATAAATTATTATATAATTTTCAAAATATATTATACTAATTTGCTACTTGTATATATTTTATTTTGTAAGGTTTATATGAATATAAAAATTATGTAATTGTAAATAAAAAGTTCACGGTTAACAAAATATGATAACCAAGAAGATGGTGATGAAATAAACCTACAACCTACAGTACAAAAATCTTACGATAGATTTTTTCATCACATTTGACATAGGAATTCTACACTTTAAGAGGGGTGTAAAACCTTGTGGTTGTGTAATGAGTATTTCCCATTCAGCCGTGGTTATATTGTGCAGTATTTATGATGCATTTCATGAGCATAACGTTCCTTCAATGATCCTGTTGTAAATTTCAGCGCCTTGGTGTCGACACGCTCAAATAGCGTATAGGCAGTTGATGAGCTTCTTCTTGTACAGGTATCCTTTCTTTTCAATAGAGAAGAAGGTGATGGATGTAACTTGATAAACTACAAAACCTATTGTAGTAGCACATTAAATTGTAACTGGACATACAAGACTTGCAGTCAAGTTGAAGCTGATTGAAGAACTTCAACGATTTAAACCCAACAAAAACGCAAATGTTTTTACAATACGCGAGTGAAAATGTCAAATTTAAACACAGTGATATAATTGATAGAATTCCATTTAATGTAAATGATTGCATAGATAGAGAGAGAATTATTACGGAAGCCTGTTAATAATTGTCGTTTCCGATTTAAATTTAGAGAATTGATTATATGCAGTCATCTTGTATTTATAAACAATGTGTATACTCAGCGTTAAGGATATACATACACAAAGCAATCAGCAGAGTCAATATTCTTTCCGGTTTAACTGAGTCTTCAGCGTAGAGTTTAACCCGATTTTTCTAAAATCAGATGCAACCTCATTTTCTCGATCATCCAAAATAAGCTATTTTCATTAGGTTTTGTTTGTATTGAGACATTGTCCAAATGTGCTCGGTTAAATCAGTGTTTATTTTTAATTCTACACAGCTCAGTATTTTATCTACCGGTTGTTTGCCATTCTGATTGTTCATTAAAAAATAATTGATGCATGCAATATTCTGTTTGCCCACATCTAATCAACTGAATTATATAGAATTGATTCTGTAGTTAAATTTGACCTGAGGTGGTTTGCTGTGATATTTGAAGATGACTATTCGAAAGATCCATATTTAGAATTATTAACAAATGCTAATTACCGGTAATTAATAGTGTACCAATCAGTCTTAATAGTGATGCATATATTCAAGAAGCATAGTTCAGACATACTTTCACAAAAATGAATAAAATGTTTAAAATTTAAAGAAATTTATCGTCCATGGTATTAAACAAAACCCTTTAAAAAGATCACACAAGTTATCAAATTCAAATTAGACATAGGTTGATTGATTAAATCTATTTTTTACTGATGTATTTAAACTCTATAACATGATTAATAGTTAATAATTTATATGATTCCATGCAGATGTATAAAGATATGTGTTGATTGGAGATGAAGATATTTTCTAAATTGAAAGCCAGTAATTTACTTAAAAATAAACAATTCAAATATTCTTAGGGTGCAAATTTTTACAAAGGACTTTAATATTTGCATTAATATTAGTTAAAGCGCAGACATTAAGTTCACATTTTTAAGGGAGTTTTCCTAGTCATTGCTGTTAATTTTTAATGGAATTGAGTGATGTATAATAACAGTATCATAAAGATTATTATGAAAGAAAATATGTTATTTTTTCAACTGGTTTTTAATTGCCATCTTTAATTACAAAGTTCATGTTAGATGTGCAATGCAGATTTTAATTAGTTCATTCATTAGATTTGCTCTGCTTATGAAGTCAGACACCTGAGGCTTTCAATGCTTGGTATACTACAAACAAAAGAAGACCAAATCAAGTAGAAGATAGAATTATTTTGGACCAAAAGAAACAGCATTTTCATCTCATAATTATCTTCTTATATTACAGTATAATTGTGGCTTAAACCAAAAATGTGATTACTTATGACATGCATCCAAGTTATTTTCACACTTTGGCAGTAAGATATGAACTGATAATTTCTCTACGCTTTTAAATTGGTTGATAGAAATTAAATTTTATTAGTTAAAGTGCTAGTCTCAATACCATAAGTATGAAAAAAAGTCCACAAAAATTCAGTAAAAAAATTGCTCACTTAATAGTGTAAAGTGAATCAATAAGTTTCAATGAAATACAGAATAAAATAATTTGTATCCACTGATTTACAGACGTTTTATTAGTACCATAATCCTTGCTAAATTTCAGCCAATTTTAAGGGTCTATGAAAGGAATTTATAGAAACTATTATTTATATGTCCAATAGTTTACAAGGACATTTTTTTCTGATTCTAATTTTCAATTGAAAACTAATAAATTACCTTAAAAACACAAAATAAGCAAATAAATTATTAGATTAGTTGATTTTATCATACACAATATATCTTTATTAAATATGTTTTTGTTTTGTTATGTGTATGAATAGATTTCAAAAGTTAGCAATTGTTTTTAAAAATATATAGTTATAATTAGTATAATTTAGTATAATTAAAGTATATTCTTCAGCAGATTTTCAATATGAAGACTTATTTTGAGAATTATTTTTTTGTTTATCAACTACAATTCATGTGAATATAGAAAATGAAAACAAAGCCATTAGAAAACGTCTCTTCTCGCTTAAAAAATATAAGGTTGTTATAATAATAATGACAAGTCTTGGCTTTTATTGCAATGGAGAAACAGTTCACAGACCCAAAGCGAAGAGACAATATTAACACATAAAGCACTGCAGAGTAAACTAATGCATAGCGAACCATCTGGAGCGCGAGATTGAAGATAACAGAGTGCGTATACGCAGTAACAAAATGGATAGGAGATTCGATTAATCCAGTTTGATACAAGGATAAGTAATGTAATAGAGTAATAGGGATGTGAAAATTGCCCGAGGACGTCTAGTGGAAGATTTCTTTCCTGATTAATGAACGCCGCAGCTCACAGCTAAAATATTAGCTTGTATTAGCCTTCCGGTCAGGCATGTTATGTTAAGCCTTCAAAGTATCACGGAATACAGATTTCAGTTGGAGTTTTATATCTAATTCATCGATGATTGGATAATTGCAAAGTCGTAGAAATCATTAGAAACCAAGTATGAATGAATAAGTGCATTGGGTTCTCGTTGAGTATTCTCGTCTGACTTTTGATTCCTATTTTCATCTTTTCTTTTTTGATTCTTGATTTCTAATCCACAGCCAGATTACATCAGAGAAACCCTATACATTTCACTGACACATTAATACAAGAGATAATTTGCTTTAGGGGGTGTGCTTTAGAAAGAATGAAACTGGAGAAATGTATTAAATATGATCAAATTATGTTTTTTCTTTTTATGACATTCAGAAGTTTAGCTAGAGATAGATCAGATTACTTGGGCAGGTCAACAACCAAAGAAGAGTAGATAGCATGTAACAGTTAGAATTGGGTTAAGGTTAAATCTATCTTTGCTTATGTAATTTAGAAGTGTCAAAGATAAATAATACGATTATGAAATCATTATGCACAAGTTTTTGATAATCAAGCATAAATTAGGAAAATAAACTCTTCCATTTCAAATGTGTATTTTAGGGGGTTCTATACTTTATTTAAATGTCTCAGGCAGAATGAATTTTTGTAATATTATAGCTTAATTTTTTATTTATATATTTAAATCAGGTTATTTATTAGAGTATATAAAGACCTGGAATTTGAATAAACTAGAATTTAATTATATTTGATTTATTAAGTATATGATGTTTCATCATCATTATGTGCTTTATCAAGAGTATTGAATATTATTAATACCTGTTAAAATGTTACAGCTTCTATTTATTACCATTTCCATTGATGGACTAATATCACCTGTAATTCGATCAAGTAATTTGATGATAGAAAAATTGTATCTACCCTCTGTAGGCCTATAGGCTCTGTGCTTAATCTCATAATTCAGGATATCATTTTGCTTATATAAGCAAAATGATCATGATTGTCGAATTCCAATACTCTATAAAATAGAAATAAAAATTAAATTTATAAATTAAATATGATAAAAGCAAAAGAAGAATGTATACAAGTAAGATAGATTAAAGAACTCATTATCATAAAAGTTATAGCGATCTGTATTTCAATCATACACCAAATATATTCATGAAGCATATTGAAGACACCCCTGAGCTTTTTGAAATCAAGACTCGGCTTACAGCGTTATTTTCACTGGATATTATAGAGTGATATTCGCTTATCCGTAGACATACAGGAATGCAATTATTGTTTATCTAAGTGTCAAAGGTATAATAGAAGCCGAGGGGATTTGGACTGTGGTCAGTAGAAAGTGACCATAGTATTGCAATGTTTATATTTGTTATCAGACGAAATAGTTATATTCCCCTGCTAGCTATTTAATATTTCACCTTTTGATAAGTGAGATGTTGGCTAGAAGGCAGCGGCAGAATCAGTGAAAATTCTGTGGAAAGTCCAATTGAGAGTATATCCAGCTAATTAATGTTCATTTCACATTTTTTCTTCATTTTATCCCAGTTAAGCAGTTATACATTACCCGGCAAACTTACATGGTGTTTTTTTTTGCTTATTGTTTACTAGTACTATTGTGAATGTATTTACTTATATTCACTTTTAAACTAATAATATAAGCTTGTCTACTGATCTTCATTTCCTTAATAATTTTTGCAATAATATAGCTAAGTTGCATAACTGCAGCTTTAACCTCATCAACAGTCGGTGTTCCTACAATCCTCTTGAAATATTGTTGAATATTAAGATAATTAAATTGTGTCTATAATTATTTTTTCTCAATATTTTCATCTAATTTGTATCTTGCAGATTCTTTTTGAAATTCTTTTTGAAGTGCAACCAGAATTGTTTGAAGAATGCAGGAAATCCACGGGACATGCGTCGATTTCAGGTGAGTTATCTCAAAGATTTTCTGGGTCCGCGCAAGGCGCTAACCCCAGAGCCTCACTGCTGTTCTTGTTCTTGTTACCAAAACTTCAAAAGCATCCAGCGTTGCCAGTTTTAAACGGACATATAGGAAATTTTGTACACATAATCTAGAGGTGATTTCCAACAAACCTTCATCACCCTTTTTTTAATTTGGACCCCAGGGTTCCCCATACACCTACAAAACAAAACAGGGGCAAGGACTGTACATTACTGCCATTACCACGAATAGGGCAAGTCGCATGAATGGCACGGTTGGTTAAGGATGTGTTCTAAAGAACTTAAGATTATGAGTTTGAATCGCATCTTGGTATTCATTTTTTTTTTCCCCCAATTTTAAGAAATCATATTTTAATTTTGTACAAATGAACATTCTATATGAACATTCTAAGAAATACATTTTTTTTTGGTACAAATAAACATCCAAATTATTTAACAATTTCTATCTTATTAGCTCTTCCAATAAAACCCAATATAATAACTTGCGTCTGTACCGTATTTAAGCACGGAGGAACGCGTTGACCGGTTAGCGGTCACTCTTGTTTATTTAAAATATATAACGATTATATATTAAATCAATACACCGGAGACGTTTGCATCTTCAATATTCTAATATGTACATACGATACAAGTACACACAAATACTGTCTATTAGGCCTATTTTTTCATGATTGTATGTATTTACCAACCTACAACTTTATTAAGATTATATTATTTCAATATTACCATAAAGTCTTTTGAGGTTATCTCTTATTATTTATTTATGTATTTGAAGTATGATTTTGGCAGTCTATTCTTGTATCAAATGTGTTCGGTATGAGTACTTCAACTACTGCTATTCTGTCGTACATTTGCCTGAGATTGAAGGAATTTGCTTCCAGTCGGATGAAAACTTGCTACAAAGCTTGTCAGCCGTCTGTATATTAAGTAGGAGACAGGCGTTGGAATCCCATTTGGGGCGACGTTTAGTCTTGTGGATTTCCTCATCTTTACTGTCTAAGATTATTTCAACATTCCCACAAGAATGTTCAGAGTATCTTTATATATAATCATTGTTAAATATAACATCTGTGTAGAAATATATTGCATGTGTGAGTTTGAACGTATGTGTGTGCGTGTATGCACATGAATATATAATTTATTCATACGTATGCAATGTACGTTTGGAACAGAAATTAACTTATCTCAAGTTAAACAGTTGACCCTACTCTAGCATTAAATAGAAAACAAGGCCGGTGCTGGAAGATTCAATAATAGAGGATTCAATTTCCGAAACTTGAGTACTATTAACACAAAAAATATACCAAGGCATGATGTTTAATCAACTAGACTTGTCTGGCAAGCTTATGGTGTTATTTTTCAATTTAGGAATTCGGCTCGTTCTCCTAATACCTGATACGCGACTACAAATACAAATGAGGTGACTTTTAATTGGGTTAATTTAACAATTGAATTTCGTGCTTATTGTATGTTTGATTATACTGTACTGCAAAAAAAGGTGAAGATGCCAAATGGTGATGAGCTGAGGTGTCACTGTTTCTGGCTGTAGAAGCATTGCTAGGGATGATGCGAGGTGTAAAGCTAGGCTGGCATTATCTGACGTTTCTATTACTAAAATAGCTATATAATAATTTAGAACAAAAAATGGAATTATAAACTAGGATTAACTATGTCTTCTTAATTTATATTTTGAATTATTGTGTTAATCTATGTTTTTTACTTTTGTTTAATATTTTTAAATAACCAAAAATATAAAAACAGCAGAAAAATACTTGTCCCCAAAACTCATATTATATATTTCATTAAGATAGCAGTACTTTTCTCTTTTGTTACTCTGTTCAGTATTTCTTGAGAACAGAATGATAAAAATTAATTTGAAGGAGCAATGGAAAATGAGATTGCAATAAATCATGACTTTATTTTTGAAAACAGTATGAAAATGATTTATCTCATTTCAATTGCACTGATCTATCGAATTAGTGATTTCTATAGGTAAATGCTTTTATTTAAATATTATATTATATATCCCTTATCAGGTAAAGCTAAAAAAAAATTACCTGGCAACCATGCATGAAATTTATGTTTTTCTACTCGGAGCACGTTTATGTGAATATGAAACCATTTGACTAGAGGAAAAAGGACTGGAAAAATATTAGTAGCGTGAAAGTGTTAAAGATAAATTTGAAAACGTAACTTAATACAAGGTGCATTTGCGACGCTCTAAATGCTAGGAAATGATTATAATTGCAAACTGATCACTTCGCTAAGTTATAAATATAAACTGAGCAAGGCCGCTGTAACCTTGGAAAATGCAGCTCGTAATCAAAGTACGGTGTTGATAATAGATAAATATGTCATTATTTGTTCTTATTATTTCTAGTCTAAATTATTTGCCCAAGATTTAATTTTATTGCTCAGTAAAATTTTAGAGTGGAAATTATCATCTCATTTTGAACCTAACCGTGGGCTTTATGCGGTGAAAGGTGTTGGATGCACGAGGGAGTGTTGTGAGATTAGAAAGTGCTTTTCTTAAGGTTGCACTCTTAACTAGTGATTAAACTGGAATATAAATAGAAATTTATTTTATTTATTTGGTGTAGTAGAAATTCTGCAACACAGATAAGAAAACAATTATAATAAACCATGCCTAAGAAAACTCATTGTCGCCAAAGTATACGCAAGTCAGTACGGTACATAAAATGTTTGACTAATGCCTATTCCTCCCATGTATATTTATTAATAGCCCATGTCATTAAGATATTCTTGATACAGAATATATTCATCTTTAGGAATAAATTTTTATCCTTAAAATTTGTTGTTTCATTGACCATTGTTTGTAACTAAGGTATACACAATATCAAAAACAATTTTAAAATGTTTTTTTGGGTGGTTTTTATTTTTTATTTTAATATTAAAATATGGTTGGGGTGCAATGGCGCTATTTGATAATTTATTAATTTTTACATTTTCAAAACGACCGTATACTGTATATGCTAAGATATACTGTAGGTTGATTGATTGACAGAGATTTTTGATTGTTAGGGATAATATATTATGTTTTGTGCATTAAAATAATGTGATTTTCCCCCCTCCCCCTTTTTTTTTGCTTATTTAAAATACTGTTATTGACAGTTGATTTTTCATTTTTTTGCGCTAATATTCAGGTGGTCATTGCAACAACGCCAAATGTTGACGGTCATGTTTTGTCGGTTTCTGATAACATGTTCGTACACAACAACTCAAAGCATGGCAGAAGAGCTCGTCGATTGGATCCCTCGGAAGGAGGTATGTGCAGTTGCTTCGTACAGACAGAGACGAAGATTTTAATGTCTTTTAAGGGGGTGGGGGATAAGTGCTCAAGCTTAAGGTTATTCACTGAAGCTGGCAACTTAAGAATGCCAATATTATTCCCAAGTGTTATTTTCTACAAATTGACCCACTAGGTCAGAAAAAAACTTACTGATGTCTTGTAGGAGCATGCCTCCAACATGGCCGTATGCTTGTTTTAGTCTTGATGGTTGCGAAACAGCCTGGGCGGTGCGAAATTGAGAATGCAGAACTAAAGCTCTATTCCAATGAAAACTTAATGGTCATTTTTAGTATCTTAACCCAATTAGTGGAAAAACTTTGCCATCATTAGGTGGGGGGTGGGGGAGGGTGTGTTATCCCCTCAGCCTACGCCCATACCCAAACCCCTGATGTGTGCAGGGCACCTGACTAATACACGCATTTTCATACGTGAATGTCCGAAATGCAGAGCATGGTAAGAGTAAAATCAAACCATTTTTTGAAATCTAAGAGATCTGTTGAGGATATATTAAACTTTGAAATATCATTTCCAGCTCATCACCAACTCTGGATCCATAACTATTGATATCACAACATTTTTTATTCTCAGTTCCTATAATAAAATAATTTTCAAATGTCAGTATTTATGTTTTACAAGTGCTACCAATATTTAATATATATTGTTTTTATACGAGTCGTGTACATGCAGTGTGTGACTATTCGTAACACATGTCCCCCATGAAGAGAGCAACGGGAGGTATTGTCACTCGAGTGTAGAGTGTTTGCAGCAACAGTCGCGGCCATTTATCACCATCAACACTGAACGCTTCCATGTCAAGAAGCTAGATTTTTAAACAGTGACTTCACTTGATACGTTACTGGCGTCTCTAAATCATACGTAGCATTGTATAAAAACATAAACTTGTCAAAATCTGCTCAATCTTAATTGTATGAAGGAAAGCAAACTTAATACTGTAGTATAATAATACTTTTTTTTCTGAATGTCTTTGTTATGTTTGTCATTTTGGCCCCTATTATTCATAGATATTAATTTAATTTTTTATGGTAATGTATTTATTTTATTTATTAAAAATATCATTATTCACAAAATCTAGGAACAAATCTGTATCTTTCATGTAATAAATTAAGTCTTATTTCTTATTACAAATGATTGACAAATTATTTATTTTTAGTATTTGTTCTAATAAACATACTTAACATTCTACAAAAAAAAACCCCATTATAATTAATTTACAAATTAATAATATTAATTAAATAATTTAATTATTATTAATTTACATTGACAGCAACTCCTTGTATCAAGGCTATCAGCCCAAGCGAAGGCTGGACCAATGGTGGCGCCACTGTTATAATTGTTGGTGATAACTTCTTTGACGGGCTTCAGGTTGTGTTTGGGACAATGATTGTTTGGAGTGAGGTATGTTAATATATGATTCATTGATCAATACATTCTAATTCATTTATTGTTGCTTTAAGATTAACAGTAGGCTGGATGGTAATCCGTTTGGAATCAGTAATCCATAGGGATTATGTTTTAATGATGGATGGTGTTTTGATAGCACTGATTTCATCACAAACTTCATTTTGTATTCAGCATCCGGAACGAACGAAAATGTGCTTTGTCTTACATAATTGTTAGCTGAACCGGCGGAATGTTCCAGTGTGAAATGGAAAAGTCAATTTCTAAAGTGGTGTTTTATATCAATCAAATTTTTATAATGATAAAAATATTAAGAGTAATTTTAATATCAATAATAATGAACATGCGAGTACCCCAGTACATGACAAACAACACTCAAACACATTTAAGTTTAAGATTTGATCATCTTGCTGAAAAACCCAAATACATAGATAGGCACAATTATTTATTTGTTTGTTTATTTGTTTTCATAAAATAAAAAGTTGCATCATCAGCAGAATAATTATAGAAATGGATAACAAAATGTGAAAAAATTTTAATGAATTAGGTAATTATTATTGTGTTTAAAACAGATAAGACTTTGGTTTTTAAAGTTTATATTTATTTTCTCTTTAACAAGCATAGAATAAAAACCATATTTATAAGTACAAGAACTAATGACCACTATAAAATCTTCTTTTGTTATTAAAAGAATGTTTTCTCTTTTCCCTTGACTACCAGTTAATCACATCACATGCTATCCGTGTCCAAACACCACCTCGCCACATACCAGGCGTTGTGGAAGTAACACTTTCGTACAAATCTAAGCAGTTCTGCAAGGGTGCGCCAGGCAGGTTCGTGTACGTCTCGCTGACAGATCCAACCATTGATTACGGGTTTCAGAGGCTTAGCAAGTTAGTACCGCGTCATCCTGGTGATCCAGAAAGACTTCCAAAGGTAAGCAGAAAACAGGTGTTTTATTTTATGCGTGCAACCGAGAAGCGAGACATTAACATGGAACAAGTAATCCAATAGTGAGAATGGATACGCAATGCAATAGTATTTTAAAGGGACTATCAGCAAAGAATGTATTGTCATTTTCTTTTTTCCACTGGAATGATATATAACAATACTTAGTGAATATAGTTATGTATAGTTTAAAGTGAAGGTTACATAATCATCTTCACACATAAAAAAGTTGAAAATTTAAAAATTTTTCTAGAATATTGAATCTCGTTATTTTTTCAAAGCCCCTTGATCCTTAGACATTTTCAATAATTATTTGAATTTTTTTTTTTACTATTTCATGAATTATTGAGATTATATTTGTTTTTCTTTCAAAATAATGGTGGTTTTTTTTTGTCAATGAGTTAAGTAATTGTGATTTGAGATGTTTATCAGATTTTCATTTGGGGTTTTGGGGTATTTCACTGTTTATTTAAATCATCTCAAGCGTAGCCACAAGCTTGCATTCTTTCGTCTTCTCAAGCACTTAATTGCAAATTATATAGACAAGTGAAATGGATGAAACTCCAACAATGCTGTGAAGTTATTGCATTATACAAAGTAAATTCCAAATTATTTTGAACTTCAAAATCCATAAAGTTTATATTGTGTAAGAATAATACTCATGATTCCAAATCTGAAGAAAACAAATCTATTTTTATAGCCAAGGAACCAGCGATGTGAGCTAAACAAAAGTTTCCCATTAGCGACAAATGCTCACTTTTACGACATTCGTGCTTTGACTCCTTCGCAGAAAACATGAACATAAAAATCTGATACACCTTCTGAAGATTGCGCTTCTCATTAATTTACAGGAAATTATCCTCAAGAGGGCGGCAGACCTGGCTGAAGCGATTTACAGTAGTATGCCACGGAATCAACTGCCGGGACTAGGCACTCCACGATCTCCCGCCATCAATAATACTCCTGTTTCCGGCAGTTTGATGCCAGTCAACCATCCTTTCAGTAGCCAGCTGTCAGTGTCCGATCACCATGAAAGTAGCGAGCAATCAGGTTGGTGTATGATAAGATCATATATGTATGCTCTATGCTCCAAGTACACTGAAATGCGTTTTAGTTACCTTTCTACGCTCGTCAGTTACCTATCAACATCTCGTCAATTTAACAAAAGACGAAAAAAATGGCATTCTTCTTTTCCCACAGCTAAATCTAAGCAGCTGTCATTGGCTGCTGTTAGATTTTAAGTGTATCTTATGAGTCATGTTCTGATCCATAAAAATATTTACGGTCCTCTAATTATGATGATAATGGGCTGCGGTTAACTGGGTAAGATGCTTGCCTTTTAATCTCAGAGTCCGTGGTTCAAATCCTATCTGAACCGGCATTTTTTTTTATGGGTAAAGCAACTCCACTCCCTGGGCCTCATAATGAAACTTAGTTTTAGAACTAGAGAGTAAATTGCTGCTGGACAAAAATTAAATAAAATAATTGGAGATTACAATAATGTTAATATAAAATAAGTAATAATATTATAATAATATGAAACAATGAGTATTAATATAATTATTATATTGTTGTTGCTATAAAATTATGATAAATGATGTCAAATGACAAAAATAACAATGTGTAAAATTAACATACAATATTTATTATTGTGTATTACTCTAATATTTTTTTTATAAAGTAGTTAAAATTAGAAATGTTATTTATATTGTTTATTGTTGTTGGTACGGTATGTCATTTCTACTGCTGTATTGATTCATAGCCTCTAAACAAAATTTATGAAACGTTCTAAATTCAAAATGGAAACTCTTAGAGCAGGTGTAATTTGCCAACAAATTTATTATAGAAAAGAACAAACGTTTTCGGTCATAGAACATTATATAGTAGTCCATGAACGATAATGTGTATTGTATAATATATTTGTTGGTTATAGCCTATGACCACAAAATGCTTGTTCCTTTTCTGTAATAAATTTGTCAGCAAATTACATTTCTTCTTTTATTTTTTTGATACTACTTTATATATATTTTGATATGCAACTATCTGGATTTTGATGGTGTGTTGCTTGTATCAGTTCACCAGTTGTATAATTATTAAATTATATAAATAAATCTTGTTAAGGATTTTCAAGAGTTCAACCTACAACCCTCTCACCTAGAGGCTATCCATCCGGTCTCTCAACTCACTCCAATGGCAGCTCCGGCTCTTACTCCTCTTCAGCTATGAATGGTTATGGACCAACTAATGGGCTATCCAATATGGGAGTGCCATCATCACCTGGGATCTTCAACGGCGCACCAAGTGAGTCTTAGCATGGTTTTATCATTGCACAGTGGTATTACCTTCTTTTACCAATACACATTTTCGATATTGAGAATTATTATTACCCAATCTGCCCCTCGTAGTCATCTAGATTGACCCAATCTCTGTGGTCAGTTGATGGAATCGATAACGACTACAATTAGTATGCATGAATGCAATTATTGTTATTTAAAAATTGATAGCAATTAAAGAAAGCTTTGAAATTTAAGGGAATATATTTGCTTATGAAGCGTGTATGATTATTATATATTACGGGACCAAATACAATGTATGACCGTGCCTACCTGTTCAAAATATACTTGACTTAAAACCTTATTGTGGCCTGGATGGGGAGATAAATTAATGGGAATATCTGCTTAAAAACTTTTTGACATGCTTGCTTCTTTGTTGTGTATCATATTTTCTCCCCTCCAAGTGAAAAGCGTGTTCTTTCTAACACAAATTTCAGTTGAGTTTTTATCTTCTCTGTTTGCGCTCAACTTATCCACACCGAAGTGAATGCCTATTTACAGCTGTCTGCATTCTTATTTTTTATTTCTGCTTCACTGTTGTTCATACTGTTGCTCAACATAATCTCTCTTTTTGTTGTACTCCACACATTTTTTTGGTTTCTTTTTTCTTTTCTGCTTCCGCTAGCAGTAATTCCTTCCTCACCGACTGCGCCCCAAACCCCTAGCAGTTCGGGCGAAAATCAGGGCACACACGCAACCACTCCGGGGATTTTCTCGTTTTCGCCCGCCAACATGATCACGGCTGTTAAACAGAAGAGTGCTTTTGCACCAGTTGTTCGTTGTCCGTCCAGCCCGTCTAATGTTGGTATTAATCAAGGTGAGGATACAGCTGGGCAGTCGTCATATTTTGCCAACCAAAATGCCTCAATTCTAACCCATTTCATCTTAAAATGCGTTCACTGTGGCTTGCTAACCCCGCATGAATTAATTTTCGTTTTGTTTTTTACATATTCATCTAATCATTTTCATTATTATTCCTCAGTAATTTTCCTTAACTCAAATTCCTTTTACATAGATTTACTAATATTTCCCTTTTTACAGACTTTGTTAATGGATTTTGTTTTTGATGTAACCTGCGTAGAATCGTAGAGCATTATTTAGAATTTAGATGCCTTTCTTACATTTTGACTTCTCATTTGCATATATTTGCAAACATAAAATTGTCCACCTGTGGCTATAAATTTATTTGAAGGTTTTTAAAAATGTGAATGAGAAGTTAATTTGTTGATGAGAGATGTCCAAATGAAGAATATTGTGTTAGCTAGATTATAGAATAGATATTTTGAGTAATATATGTCCAATAAAAGTAATTTAGTGTTTTATTTATTTATACATTTATTAATTTTTCTGTTTTATTATTGTTAAATTTAGGATTACAATTAATTTAGGATCTTATATTGCACGATTTCTAACTCTGTGTTATAATTGAAATCTCTTAATAATTAGATTTTTATACTTACGATAGGCTTATGGACAGTGGCGTAACGCCTATGCGCTCTCATGCGACGGTCCGCAGGGCCTCTGAATTCTAAGGGGCCCTACCTATAGGTTCCTCGATCTAGTACCCTGACCAAAAAGGACTTTGTTGATAAATAACACGATAATGTGTCTGAAATCGACTGTAGGGCATATATCATATAACGATTAAAGAGAGGGTCCCCCTCTCGGCTCGTAACCCCACCAAATTTGTCAACAAAAAAAAAATTTAAATGGAGTTAAAAAGAAAATTATATTCACAATTGTAAGACCATTTCCGGCCATCTAGACATGTCATAATCATACATTTTCTTATCTCAGCCAGGGCAACAGCATAATGTGTGTCTTAAATCGACTGTAGGACATCATATTATATCCCGTGGTGGAATAAGGAGTGGGGGTGGGGGGTGGAACTGCCGGTCTGGAGCTGTCGGCCCGGGCCCGGGCCCCACTAAATTTGTCAAAATATTTTTTAGCTGGAGATAAAAAGAAAATTATATTCACAATTTTATGTCTGTGAAGTTCTATTTTTTCCGGCCATCTAAATGTGCCATATTCATAAATTTTCTTACCTCAGCCCCAACCATGGTATAGACTCTCCAACTGTGAAAGTCCTTCCCTGGCCTCAATTTTCTGGATCCATATTATATCATTTATTCGTTGTTAAAAAAAAATTTAGAATAACAATGCACATCTAAAATTCCACAATGGAATTGGTGACTGGGACCCAAATAGGGCCCCCAGTTTCAGAAAAATACACAGGGCTCCCGGCCCCATCGTTACGCCACTGCTTATAAAATATAAAGTTACATGATTAAATTTTTTTTAAATTAATAACATCCTAACAATATTAATAAGGTAACTTCTAAAAAAAGTAAAAGATCTTCCAAAGAAATTACTATTCTAATAATTAAAGGTACAGGAGATTAGCAAAGAATTTAAAATTTTTTAAATATTGAAATTTGCAAGTTGGCTTGTTTTGAAGATAATAAATCATTAGATTCTAATCAATTAAATCGCAGTGAATATCAAAATCAAATAAATGCATTTGTTTTTGATTCACCATATCTTCACATATAGGACTTGTTACCACAAAAGTATCCAGATACACTATTGAATACCTTTACAAAGAGTCCATGAGATTTTACACCAATTGGGGCTATCGTGGGCCGTTTCTCAAATGTTTAAAATTATTAATAACATGTTTTCAATACAATGATGACCCACTGTAATGACACTCTTTTTTAATTTTTTTTTTTTTGTGGTGGCAAGATCTGCATAGTTTTACCAAGGTAGTTTTTAGCATATTTATCAAGTGTGAGCCTTTTATAACCAATAGATGTAATTGTAAGATGAGTTTTGCGATGCTTGAGAGAAACGATGTTGTGTGTTGTACAAGAGGCAACAAATGAAGTCTTTAGTGATTGTCACCAGTATATATCAATTTCATTTTACATGCTATGATCATGCACTAATGCCACACTCGTCTTTTCATATAATTATGAGCGCATTTAATTTCAACGCTAATTGCTTTTTCTTAAAACAAAGCATAAAATGTACGACACTGTTGTTGTATTTCCACCTCTCAGAAATGACAGTAACGTTTTAATAGCCGTGTTAGATTCAGGTCAATTCCTACGCCTTCAGACTACACCGTTAACTCTCATCCATCATATCGTAAACAATTGCAGTGTTTCATAATATATGAGATAGATTAATATTACAAGTTTTTAAAGAAGCTTCTGTGTCAGACATGGTCTGGTGCAATGCCAAATCTCATTTTATGAAAAATAAATGAATTTTTATCTCCCTGCTGTTTCTTGCCCCCTGTTCTATAAAATTTCTGCATTTTTGTCTTTAGAATTTTAGAAAAAAAGTTCCTTTCTGATCGGTGTGTCACTGAATCTATTGTTCCCATAAATTGATCATTATTGATAATTTAAGTGTTTTGATGATCATATTTCTAAAATTCATTTATTTTGTCATTCTTAAAGGGAAATCCTGGTCTTGGTCCTGGTGATGTCTTACGATAGGATTCAAAAGTTAGTTAATTTCTCTCCTTTTTTTCATTTTAAACTAAAAATAAAATTTTATTGTTTTAACAAACTTGTTAATTATTCTAAAATTGTTTAACAAAGTTTGTTTTTAGTAGATTGTTATATGATCTATTAATGATAACATTAGGATACTTATATTTATGATTTTTAGATAAGTTGTGTTGGTATACATGTAGACAATAATAGGTTGTTTTCGCCGCACGATGTTAACCTTAACGTTAACAGATGACGTCATAATTTGTTCATCTTGCGTTGCAGAGTACATTAATTTCAGGATTTTACGTGCTCGATGTACGTTAGTTACGGGTTTGCGCATGCGTATTTCGATTTGTTTACAAAAGGGGCGGAGTTATCGCATTGGATGTTGGGTACTAACATTAAAGTTAAGGTTGACGTCGTGCAGCAAAAACTACCTAATATTGTAAGTGGTACTGTGCTGTCAAAGCAAAATTTAAATGTAGTGACCAAGCTTTAAGTGAACCATGCATGGCTAATGCTAACATTTGTGAGTGTTGAGAATAAACAGATCTTCAAAATACCACTAGATATACAGTACCAATCCAAACTTATCTAATATCTTGTATGGAAATTCTTATAATAGTATATTAAGACAGAACATTTTAAAATGATGACGATATATATTACAGGGTGAGTGAGATATTAGTTGTGGCAGTACATAAAAATTAATATCTCGTATAATGTGTTATTTTGCAATGCTTATATTTCTAGTCATAATTCTCAATACAGGTCTTTTCGTTTAACAGGGAATAGTGCTATGATGTCACCGCCCTCGTTCTGTGGCGTCGGAGGACCGTTTGCTCTACCCACCTGCAGTGCATCATATAGCAGTCATATCGATAGCCCACCAAAATAGTTGGCTAATTCGGAGAAAATAAAAATAAAATTAATTATAAAAAAGGAAGAAACATTGCATTACATCCAGAAACACACAAAAAAAAGAGGAGAAATTGGTTGTTGGTTAGTGTTGACTGGATGGCCAGTGGTGCTGTTCTACTCATGTGCAACAAAGTGAGTGACGCGGCTGAAGTGAACAAATTCTGAAATACTGATCAAATATTGTACAGAACTGATAAAAAGTCTTCTTAAAAAGAATGAGAACTACCTGATTCTTTCTGAAATATATATGTTGAGAATCAGAAAGTGGATTGGCTACAGATGATGTTTGTAGTGCTATAACTGAGGACTTCATGGTAGAACTTACTTAAGAGTCTATCCAAAGTCCTGAGAGGACCACAAGATTCCGGGGAAGGGTGAGTGGGGAGGATTTAGCAGTGAGATTTCAAAACAATTTTTTGTATTCATATATTGTAATCTGGACATAAAGAGAATTATTGAACAAGTTTAGAATTAAGTTATTAAAGAGTAGAGAACAATTTTATACAGGTTAGTGACAATTTGAACAATGAGCATGTTAAACAAGATTTCACCAAATTTAAGCGGGAAGCATGAACAAAAAGGGGCACAATTTGCTGCATTTAAAGTAATAGTGAGAATTAAATCACATTTTAAAAAATGGTTTTCTGGTCAATTCCATAGTGTATGAAGAAGTGTGTGAGTGAACATTTGACAGTATGCCAAAGTATTAATGATTTTACACAATGAAAGATGTTGTAACCCAGCAAAGCTTAAAGCAACATGATTAACATATCCCATTGTATTTTATACAAACATTAAAATAGTTTCTAAGAGTAGTGTGTATTTGAATATATTTGGTGTATTAGTATGGTAATTTAAGAATATTTAGTTATAGACCAATAATAGAAGTCTTATTATAATTATTATTATTATTTTGTTATTATTTAACATCATGTATTCATATTCCAATATCATATTAAGCTGAAGACCATGTTTTAATCAACACTTAAAATTTATGAAATTGTAAAAATGAACATTTCCAATAATGCAGAAATCCAGATATGGAATTGACAATTCCAATTAAAAATTATAACTGAACTATTAGTTGATTTAACAGATGTATATTTTTGAAAAAATGATTACATTAATGTTAATGAAACAAATACATTACAGAAGATTCAGACACAAAATATTAATAGTCAATGTACATTAACTTTGTAATTACTCGGTTGCTGAAGTAGTAGATGAATATATTTTTAACACATTGACTTTCAACTACGAGTACAATTGTGTAACATGGTGTAACAACCTTGTTAAAGGATGTAATGATCATGACACAGGTGTAACAATGATGTTACAGGGTGTAAAAAAGTTGTTACAGGGTGTAACTTTGGATGCCACTTCAAGTGTTCTTGTAGACAAAGTCCTTTGTGTATTTGAATGAATATGTTGGTGTCTCAGTCAAGAGATGAAAAAAAAGGATAGTTGTTCTGTTTTTCTTTATAACATTTGCACAAAACTCTACAAGGTAACTTTTAGCTGGCGTTGCGTATATTACAAACGTGCACCTTCGTCGTGGAAGCCAATGTGATAAACATGATGCAACTACTCCATTCCTCTTCAATATTCTGGGTATTTTCTTTCCTTATTTAATTCCTCTTGCGTTCTCGGTACGTGAAGAGATAACACATTTATGATGTTTCAAATCTGCATGTTGGAAGATGATGAAGACCTGACTGTAAATATTTGGCTTGAAAAAATGAATTGAAAAAATAACATAAATTTCATTGTCGTGTTTGCCTTTATTTTTGTAAAATGCTTTCCAATATCTATGTATTCATGAGGACAATATATAAATTTATTTTATTTGAGTACTTTTTAGATGGATGTAAAAAATAAACACTTATTCTTTTTTTTTCATGACTATCTTTAACCTTCCATTCGTGAAGTTTCCATTTAATGAAAGCAATTTTGAAGACAATCAGAGAATTAGTGACCAAATCAAATTTTTAATTATTTAATTTAAATTCTAAACATTATCATCAAGGTTTAGGATAATGCTGCTAAACTTTAGCATGTTAAAAAAAAAAAATGTTTGTGGCAAAAAAATCGAAGTTGCCAGATTTGAAGTCGTACCAATTAGATTTTTCAAAAGATTGGTGACAATTGAGTTAATATTGAAGTTGATTAGTACACCTGAGAATAATATTATGATAAAAATTTCATATGCTAATTATAGTTTTGCTTATTTGTTCATTTACTTCATCATAATCTCTTTCATTTTGAAGTTTGCATTACAGTATTTATATTGATGTTGTTTAATTATTCTCTTTTTCCAGAGTATATATGTAAATATTGTTGGTGTTATAAATACCAAGAACCGATCTGAGTGTGCAAATTTTTAGATTACTTTAGCTAACAAAATGGATCAGTTATGGTTTTTGTTTTATTACAACCTACTACACAGATTATTATGTATTTTTTCAAACTCAAATTTATATACTGTAATTCTGTTGTTTCATTCAGTTTGTTGTGCACTACTTTCTATGTTAATCAACTTCAAGTTTGAAGTATCCATTGCTTCCATTTATGAAAGTTAAATTTTAAAGTGGGACCATTTTATGAAATTTCCAAAGTCATTGGCAATTGGTTTTAATAGTTTTCTGGAAAATGTTATGTCCTCACTTTGTATTAATTACATTGACTGGAGATATTTAAATATGATGCAATGATGAACATTTCCTGATGTCTTCCACATCATCTGTAGAAGGCATTGCATAAACAAGACATAATGAGAACTACCCTGTTTTAAACTTGAGTTGTTATGGAATTGAACACAATTATTCTCCGACCAAACAATTTGATAGATACAAATTTGGATATGTTGTAAATATAACTTGAAGATATTGATGATTCTGTCATCACTCTTTATCTATATGTACCTTTTTTAAGGATCGTCAGGGAGAAAACCATTTTGAAATAATATGGTTTAAATGTACAGTATGTTTCAATTTAAAGATACTGACCTTTTTTGTGTGATGTATCAAATTGCACGTTACTTTTGCAGTAGTGCATCCCAGCATAATACTATTTTGTTGGTTTCTATAATTCAAATAAGAAAAATGCACAAAGTAATGTTAGAATGTTTCATTAAGGGAATATATTAATATCAACAACTTCATTTTTAGAATAGATTATATGAGCTATAATTATGCATATCCGATTTCATATAGTTTTTTTTCTAAAGTCTTGTATCATATTTGCCCTTAATGTTCATGTTTTATTGTATTTTAAGTAGTTTAACATATTGTATGATAATGTTTATGTTCAATTATAGGTACGGAACGAAATGAAAGGTTGTATGGGGAAAATGACAGGGGTACAAAAGAAACAAGAGGGGTTAGGGAAGAACAAGGAGTGAGGGAAGGAAAAACAGGGTATAATTATTATCTGTTTCCAAAGGTTTTATTTAAAATATACTTTGTGAAATGTGATTAGTGATGATTTTAAATTATTAATGACCTTATCTGCCTTGTTATCAACAAGAATTTCCAATAATTCTGTGTACATTATGTGGAGAAATTATATATAAACACATATGTACCATATTGGAATATAAAAATTGAATTTAGGTAAAGAAATGTTTAAATTTTTATTAAAACGTACAGGGTAATAAAATTGGATTGGCATTATTATGTTCTAAATGGAAAGAAATTAGAGCAATTGCTATTTCTAAACAGAAAATATGACCAACTTTGAAGGTAAACTTTACCAACATATGTACTTATATCCAGAAGAACTTGTACTTATAAAATGACTATTTACTTAATGTTTTAAGTTTATATTGAAGTGTGGCAAGTGCTCTGTATAAATCTTCAAATATTTCTGTTGTTGAGACGTTATAAAATATATGTGTTTAGTCTGTTATGTTTCTTTTGTTAGCCGTGTAAATAGTTGCGCTGTGCTGCAGTTATGTTTGTCATTCTGTTTATTTTTTTTCTCATGTATGCTTGTCTTCGTTGTTTACATCTGAATAAAATATTATGAAATGTTATACATCAGCATCTTGTTAAGTTTTATCTGTTTTTTGGTCCTCAGAAAATATCTTTATATTATATGATAATCATTCCTTTCTTGAGGAAGGGTGCTAATACCAATTGAAAGGGTGCTGATAGCACCTGAAATTTTGTGTGTTTCCATCCCACGGTATTACTTAAACTTTTAATGGAAGTCGAGTGACTTAGCGGTAAGGCTAACTACAGCCTTAACATCGGTGCTGGTTCCAGCCGCTTCTCTCCCAGAATTTGGTTGGTAGGACCAAGTCTTCTCGGACTTAAAATGGAGGTCTAGTGCATACAACTGGCTCACATGCATTTTAAAGAACCCATTGCATCTTTCGGAAGAGTACAGGGTTACCCCAATGCTATGGTTCATTTCAGTCCCTGTTGTTTTGGAATATAGTGAACATGTAGCTACTATAAGCTCCTCTTTAAGGCCGCTAGGTAATCACAGACCACGCCCATAGGCAATTCAGCACAATGACGCTGCAAGTTATTGGTTATTCTCCTTTTATCCAGTTAAACCATACATATTTGTACTGTAGTTATGCAGAAATTTGGAGGGGAAACCCCAGAAACAACTTTAATAATTTAACAAAACAGCAGAAGAGGAATCTGACCACAAATGAAAAGAATATCAACCTCCGCCCGTGGGACTTAAAGGACGACTATACTCGTAAAAATCAGGGTAACATTCTAGCGTTTATTACATCGTTGGTATTCGTCGTGTAACCACAGACTTAACAGCTGATAGTTCGGGGAAGATACACCTTGATAATGGGCAGTACACTCGATTGCACAAGTTGGTGCACCCTATGAACATATATCTGCTCATGCAAAAAGAAGACAAGAAAACTCGCGCTTGGCAGAGGCTATAAAAAGTACTGCCACTATGTTGGTGACAAGTTTACTTGTCCCCTAATATTTTCCTGCCAATTTATTAGACACCAATTTGATGATATATGACTAGATAAAATTCCAAAAATGTTTGTTTGTACAAGTATACTTGTTTTGACACACAGGTAGGAACCTAAAAAATAGGTCTGGCAGTCAACATGTTATGAACCGCTATGATTTTAGGTTGAGTGCTTGTAGCTGGTGAAAGTGATTTCATTCTAAAATAGGGAAATTCTGTTGCACTATTTTTTATATGGACAGAATAGCATCATGGAAAATATGGATACACCTGTGAATGTGCATTAAGAACGGCAAGTTATTTCAAATTATAATTATTTCAAATTATACTTTATAGTAGAACTTTCTGGAGTATCAATCGAACAGTGCCAATACTATGCTTATAAGCATTTGACGACAAGACAGGATCTCTGAAGAGATGCTTTTTTTTATAAATAAATCATGATATAGGGATAAACTCTAAACCATCTAGCAGTAATGCTATAAACATATATATNNCTGTCTCTTATACACATCTTATATATATATATATATATATATATACATATATATATAAATCAATGCAATTATTTGTTACTAGCCGTACCTATTGTGTAATTATAGTGTAACTGGCGGTATTTGAATCTGTTCAACTATGAAGCCTCTGTGGTCTAATAGTTATGACGCTCGCCTTGACAGCAAGAGGTTAGACTCCTGTCAGAGGCATTTTATTACACTTTTTATTTACCTTTCTTTGATGATATATATATATATATATATATAAAGATATATATATAGGTATATATAAAAAATATAAATGCATATGCATAAATAAGTATATACTGTATGTACATACAATATATTTATATACTTAATTCTTTCTCACAACTTCGAAATAGCACCAACTCTTATACGATCAATACATGCATTTGACTAGGCATATCCAAACTATAGTATATATTTATTTATTTACCGCCTTTATTTCCACATGGTGTTTCTTACCACATTTCCAGTTTTTTCTGAAGGTATGTTGAAACTTTATATTGAATAATTATAGATTGAGTCAGGAATTTGCAGTTCCAATTTCAGTATTTCATTAATAAGGCTTTGGCTACCTCGGGATGCATAGTTTGGGGTATGCAGGCAGCCTTAGGATTTGACGTTCCAACCCCGGGTTGCATAGTTTGGGGTATGCAGGCTTCAGCCTTAGGATTTAACGTTCCTACTCTGGGATGCATAGTTTGGGGTATGCAGGCTTCGGCCTTAGGATGTAACGTTCCTACCCCGGGATGCATAGTTTGGGGTATGCGGGCTTCGGCCTTAGTTATTTCAAATTATAATTATTTCAAAACATAATTTATAGTGGAACTTTCTGGAGGATCAATCGAACAGTGCCAAGAATACACTTATAAGCATTTGATGACAAGACAGGATCTCTGAAGAGATGCTTTTTTTTATTAATAAATCATGATATAGGGATAAACTCTAAACCATCTAACAGTAATGCTATAAACATATATATATATATATATATATATATATATATATCAATGCAATTATTTGTTTCTAGCCGTACCTATTGTGTAATAGTGTAACTGGCGGTATTTGAATCTGTTCAACTATGAAGCCTCTGTGGTTTAATGGTTATGATGCTCGCCTTGACAGCAAGAGGTCACAGGTTAGAGTCCCATCAGAGGCATTTTATTACACTTTTTATTTACCTTTCTGTGATGATATATATATATATATATATATATATATATGTACAGTATATATAAAAAATATAAATACATATACATATAAATATATATATATATACTGCATGTACAGTACATACAATATATTTATATACTTAATTCTTTCTTTGGGGTATGCAGGCTTCGGCCTTAGGATTTAACGTTCCTACCCCGGGATGCATAGTTTCGGTATGCGGTCTTCGGCCTTAGGATTTAATTTTCCTACCCCGGGATGCATAGTTTGGGGTATAGAGGCATCGACCTTGGGATTTAACGTTCCTACCCCAGGATGCATAGTTTGGGGTATGCAGGCTTCGGCCTTAGGTACCTAAACAAACCTACCCCAGGTTGCACAGTGAGAATGAATATGACAGTTTTGTTTTAAGTTGTGTTGTTTTTTAAGTTGATGATGATGTTTTGTTTAATTATGTTGAATATTTTTGGGAGTCACATTTTCTCCTGTTGACTGTGGGGTTTCCCACTTCCTGTTTCTGCGTATGTCAATGATTACATCTCACCTAGCCTATTGTTTCTAACCATGATTGCACGACTTCTCATTTTATACTATATGGCTTTTTTCTACCCTCACTCACTCGTCACTGAGGAAGGACTAGTGTTGTCCGAAGCCTGGTTCTATTTCTGGGTGTTAACTTAGGTTCACTTTTTAGCTGTTGCTTATCAAATTTCTATCTCTACCGAGATCCCACCATTGTTTCCCACAGCATTGTTGTTTTCCAGTTAGCTGTCTCTTATACACATCTAGATGTGTATAAGTACACACACACACACATGTATATATTTATATATTTTAATTATGTATACATAAAACTATGCTTTCAAGTGCATATGATTGTATCAGTACATGTACAATTTCTTCATCCCTTGATTACAACACAAAATCACAAACGTCAGCTGGTTGTTCATTGCCACATCAATTTATTGTAAAAATGAAAAGAACTCATATTCTTTATAAACAACTACAGATGCTTTTCCCTAGCAATTAATTAAACTCATACCCTTTATATTTAACCAGCAGCAAGTTCTAAAGATTAATGATTTATCTGACGAATATAAAGTATTATTTGACAGTGATGTTTACCCTGTAACTCCAAGAGGAGTGAAAATATGATCTTTTTGGGTCAGAACACATTAAAAAAGGTGTCTTGCGAGTACTTAAGCTTCATATACTAGCAAGCTAAAAGCCATTGCATAATTACCCCCATTCCTTTGTGCTGGGCACAGCTACTTTCCCCCATTTATGACATTTAATTCTTTTTATTAGTTTTCTTATTAGGCCTATAAATAGAATTAATTTTACTTGGTTTTAACTGCTGCTGCCTCCCACCTGCTTGGATGCATGCTTTCACACCAAAACAAACAGACTTACTAACATACACCTTTTGGCTACATAAACTATAGTTGCTAGGCAACAAACGAGAGACTGGATTCATGAAATCTCATCCCAGCAATAAATACCTCATTGGCAACAACGATGACTCCATGCGGGAACATAATACTATCAAGGACAATATTTATATCTTGACTGAACAGCCGATGGTGATATTCATCTCGGTTATTTTATCGATGCAATATTCTCATCTTTATGTTTATCATTGTATGCAGTTTATCGTATGTTCTCGCAATAATGCTTATACTGACAATATACACAAATTCTAACTATAGAAACAATGCCACAGGCTGACCCTGAGATGTAAGTTTGTTGGTAACATCTGCATAACATTTTTGGATAATTTATGAGCAGTATCATAGAATATCAGTACAATATTTCATTTGTTTTTCAATAAATTGGCCAAGGATGCATATTTAATATCACAACATCAATAACTTTTGATATTATTCACATAGACCATGGATAAAGTATGCCATGCAGCCTGGGGGGATAGAATTTATTCCCCTTATTCTAACAGAACAACCCACCGGCAAGTATCAACCAGGCTATATCAAATTTACTTTGAATGTATATCATGCGTTACAGGGAAGAAATTAAATTAGCGATGTTATTTTAGAATGGTCTACCACGTCCACGTCCCCTCGGTGGTCCGCCAGCATCTTGGCTGGATTTGGGATTCTTAACGGTTTCATCAACCGAGAGAACTAAACATGCGGCCTCCGATGCTGCTGTCAAGGCGTTGATTTTCACAACGGACGGTTCCCACACAAACGCCTCTAGGTTATCGGCTATATCTTCTTTCAAGATGTCTACTCCATACCATGTCCCACCTACAAAAGGAAATTGTTAAAATTAATCAGAAAGCCACACCCTTACTGGGTCAACAAAAAACAAGTAAATACCCCGTGGGAATTGGGCAAGGCAGGATATTCCAAGTGAAAGAACAAATTGAAACCAATACTCAAGTCTTTTGAAACATCCCCAAAAAAACAAAAACATGACTAAAAACAAAAATATGTAACTTAGGATATGTACATGTCATAGGTTAGGTTGTTTTTTATTTTTTAAATAGTCTCTGAAATTATATAAGAAGCAATTATGACTGCTTTGATAGAATAGCATCATTTGTCACTCGTCGCAAATCATGTTTTGAAAATAATGTACAAAACATGCTGGAATGTAACATTTTTTTAATCTATTTTATGGCACTAAACTTTATATATCTATACATCATTTTATGTTGTTATTTTCTAACTATTTGGTGATGGTCTCAGAATAATGGCCAAAATCGTAAACTTTAAAGGCCGATTTCTCAAATACTGTCCTTTAAAAAGCTGTATGTTTAAACTTCTGTAACTTCATAACAGAATGTCTGATTTAAATGATGTTTTTAACAATTTTATAACATTCATTTTACAGTTTTACCATGTTTTAATAACTAAAAATCTATTTTTTTTTTTTTGCAAGGAGCGACTGGTTTGATTTGTCTTTTCCACATTTATTAAACATTAATAAATTTATAAATTAAAAATAAAATATACTGATATCAATCTGAAAAAAAAAAACAATTTGGAGGAATGCACAATGTGTTAAGCTAATAATAAGGAATACAATTTATTATTTCAATTGATTTGTATGTTTAAGTTTAATCTTAAAAAATTGGAATGAGAATTTTTTTGCTTTTGCAATTAACAAAAGTATGAAAAATACCTTTCCTATGTCTATGATGTCTTTGCATAGAGCAATAAGTTAGCACACACTTTGTCTCTTCTTACAAGTTGATAAATTGTGTAATCCTTTTACACTAGAATTAGACATTACACATTAGAATTATTTAAGTATTTTTTTTAATGGAACTTTTGGAATTTAAAACATTTTTTCTCTTTTTGTTTGATCAAATATTTGTTGAGCTGATCTTGCTTGGTTTTGAAAATAACAGGCATTATTAGGCAAATAAAAAATGTAAAAAATGACCCAAAATGTACGAAATTGAGGTTCGGCATTTTAGTTGGTTTTTGACTACAACAAACAATATTTTTTCAATGAGCTAAAAATGCAGGACGGTAAGCAATGTGACAGTGCTATGCAATCGTTTTGCTCTTCAATAGATTTGAAAATGGTCTTCGTCATATTTTTGTGTATTTTCTACTCTTTAGGCATAAACACATTATTAGTTAAAAAAAGGGGGGAAAAAAGCCTACCGACCTACCTTCCGATTTTTTGGGATTTTCCCAAAACATGGCCAACACAAGAAAAAAAAATTTTTTTTGAGCTTATTATTTATGGTTTTCATAAATCAATCAACCAATTAAAATTTTGATTGTGTCACAACATACCCCACCAACCAATTTCGATGTGAGTTTGACCTACCACAACTCTAGTCACTAGAGCGTAAATTCTGTTGTCTAGTGGTTATGGCACCAGGCCAGTTATCTGGAGGTCATGGGTTCGATTCCCACCTAAATCACTTACAAATATTTTGCAAGTACTTGGGAACGTACGTAAGTATTTTATTATGATAACACGTCAGGTAGGGCAAAACACCACTCCTGTGATACCCCACTGAGTTGACCATGTCTGACTGGAGCAATTTAACATGTTAATTCATTAAAAAAAAAAATTCTTTACCTTGAGCATGTTTCTGTCGGAGTTTATTGAGAATGTTGGTAGCATCAAAGCCAGCGTTATCACACAACTGTCTCGGGATAATTTCCAAAGCTTTGGCAAATGCTCCTATCAAGATCTGCTGCTTACCAGCGATGGTACGCGAATAATCCCGAAGGTACTTGCTCAGCTCCATTTCTATGGCTCCGCCACCTGAATTACAAAAACAAAAGTTCTTAATTTATCAATTTAACTCCATTTAAGTGTTAATCCTACACAAAAATGTTGGCTAAACATGGAATATTAGAACACATGTGCATTTATATAAACAAAAGATTAAAATAACAAAATAATGATTAGAATTCTTTTAAAAAAATTTAAGTGTTGAAATGGAGAGATTGAATAGACAAAGTAGCGAAAATTTAATACTAGAATTAAACTTGTTTTTTTTTCAATATTTACCCAAATTCTTATGAACATTGCATACTATACTGTTTGCATCGAATGTTGTACATTAACTACACATCAATGAATTATAACATTAAATATTTGACATAACATTAGTCATAATTTGGTTACCATGGAGATTTTTTGGCTAGGATCTAGAAAATTAACTTCATAATAAAGTGTATTTTGACAAGTTTGATATAAATTACTTTGGAAAGAAATGTGTTAATATTACCAGACAATAACAACAAAATAACATGCATAATCTCTTTGATTCTCTTGGAATTTCTAACATCAATGTCAACTAGTGAAGAGGAAAGTGTGGGTAAATGTGTATTGTTTGTATACTGACTATTAGAAAGTCGAATGATATGTATATTCTTATTGTTGTTATGATATCATTTGTGACCAAAACCAGAGTTTTGGGTAATTTTAGATTCTGCATGAATTCTTTAATACAGTGTTTATTTAATACAAAATTAGCAAAGTTATGAATATGTATTTCATTGGATATCAACCATGTAGTTTTTGAGAAAACAGCTTCCAAAGATTCCAAATCAATAGGTTATCATTGAAATTTGTATTTCAAAATTAATATACTTTTCAGTTAGAATTAGTGGTTGATATTTTGCAGAAATGTTTTCAATATATTCTTTTATAAAATTAAAAGACCTGAAAATGTTCAAGATTCTGATTATCGAATGTTTTGGGTGCTTATGCAAAATTAGAAATTGCAACAAATGGCAGGTTTTGCCAGAGCTGATCACATTTATAGACATCACCTGCAACGATGGAATCGTTCTTGATGGTCCTCCTTACAATCATGATTGCATCATGTAGAGACCTCTCTGTCTCCTCAATGAACTGCTCCGCACCGCCTCTCAAAATCAGCGTACACGTCTTAGCATTCGGGCAACCGGTAAACAAGTTATACCTATAAACGAAAAAAACATGAGTAAATAACTAAATCACTATTTCTTAAACATTCAAAATAGTTTTATCTAGTCATGAAGTCATGTTTATAACATCAACGAAAACTTACAGTAAGTTTATATCCATTGTGCTTGGTTTATTATTGATTAAAACAGTTATACAGCTAAATAACTATTAAAAATTAATTAAATGATATAATAATTTATAGTTTATTTAGAGCTCAATATGCCAAAAATATGTGCTCAGTGATTTTGTGGCAAACAGCTGATATTAGACTGCAATTTTTCCAAAACCCTATTGTTTGCTTGTCACTCAAGTACAATTATGTATATTAATTACTGTTAATTATAATACATAAATATTAATATTAGTATACTAATTTAAATAGGGAAAAATGTATTAGATCATCATAATGCAGGTATGCAGCTCATGGTGCGGGGAACTGACATCGCAAAACTGATGTAATAATAGCATAACAAAACAAGCTTTCGAACACAAAAATGAAACAATTGAAACAGGATTTTTTCCTCTTTGAACAACTTAATAAATTCAGATAGAGTGTTGTTTACACAATATAAGGGAACAACATGTGTATTAATTTATCACTCATCGCAGCGGTTGATTAGTATGATTTGCATGGCTCGCAGCTAATTTTAGCCGCCAGAACCATCGGGGAGATCGACTGTTGTTGGGCGAAGCAATTCATGAATAACATCCTAGACAGGTATTCGAAAACAGCACTGCGAGAAAACAGCAGCGCGAGAAAACAACACCGCAAGATATTACGAGACCGGTGACACTACATTATTGTGTGATTGGAACACGTAGCTTTAATAAGTTACTGATTTACAAATCAAGCATATGTAATAACAGTAAGCTTAAAAATGAAAGTGTTGGATTCGCCTCGCATTATCAGACCTCTGCACAGAATCCTCCAGACACCGACAGGTTCATTACAGCCAGTCTTCTATTTAGAATTCACACCTAGACCGATGCAAAAAAATGTCCAACTTGTCAAGTTCAAAAACGCTGCTCAACAACTTGAACAAACTTCTCTGAACATCAAACACGAGGAAAGCAAATAGTCTGTGACACTCGCCAACACGAAATGGATTCGATCTGTCTTGAGTGAAAAACACAGGCCAAGCAACATCACTATCAATTAGATTTGGGAGACAAGACTAGCCGCAGCTTGTTTCTACCCTACTTTCAAATCAATACTCGAAAAAAGACCACCTTAGCCCACCACATTCTTGCTATATTTCCAACATAAAAGAGCTAAGGGACAGTAGTTTTTCCTGAAAGGCAGTCACAAATAATTGTCCTTAAATGATTCCCAGGTAGGGGATGTGCTCCTAAAACTTTACCTTACCTTTGTAAATTGATTCGATATCAATGTAGAGCTGGTAAAGCGAGAATAACATCTTAACTCTTGTTTTTTTTCCTCTCTAATATTATAATTTATTTTCAACAAGAGTGTAGGGATTAGCACTTTTCTCCATGGATACCCAAACACTAGAAATTTCACTAATGCAAGTTAGAACCGTCATATTTTATTACCATTAAACCAGAAAAAAAACCAGAATACTTTTATAGAATGATGAAAAAAAAAAACCTAACATAATATGTAACATTCTTTGAATGTATTTAATCGTTCATATTTGTAATCAACATTAACACAATTGCGCAGGGGAATAAAGAACCTGCATGCTGGGAAGAAAATAGATCGACAATCAAAACTTCACCTTTTAACCTTTTGGAAATGTCACGAAATTGTGCAGCACCTGTGAGTTTGCTAATCAGATTTAAAAAATCTACCTAAATTTTGGGTAAATGTCATCGATTCAAATGCAAAGATTAAACAATTCATCCAATTGCCAGATTGAAACATCTTGGTGGTTAATCCGATGGTCCTGGGTTCAAATCCTGTGACACCAAAACCTTTTCTCTGTTTTCTCAAATTTTCTTTGACAAAAAACTGTTGTATGCCCATATATAGTCATGATGTGACTATATATGGTGATGATGTGATGTCATCATGACCTGTCATCATGACATGTTTTTGCCAAATAAAATTTGATGGCTTAAAGGCTAACTCCACTCCCTCAGCTTCAAATAAACAAGTTTCAAAGCATCAAATTTCATCCTGTAGTGAGTTACTAAATACATAAAAATTTACAGAAGTGAAAATAATTATCAGAAAGCTATATTTTGGCAAGATTTATATTTAAAAAATAATCTATTAATGCTGTATGTCAACAGTAAAAACTGACAGGAATTGGTATAGACTGCAGCTCTATATTTACCTAGGCTGATAGAGTGATCCAAAGCTTCTTTTTTTTCGTCAAAGTAAACCATAGTTTTTTCCAAATATTTTCAATTTTTTTTTAATTTTTAGTTGCTTAGAAATTGAGATATAAGAGTGGTTTGACATTTAACATACTGGATAGATATAAATCGAGTATGTCTCCCTCATTTGTAAACTTTTGTTTGCTACTACAACTGTCAACAGCTTTTTAACATGTTTACCCCCTTCCTCTTACATTCATACTCATTTCCTTTACATGAGGAGAGCTAGTTAATGTTGCTCACTTCATTAACATGCCCCTAGCTAGGTCACAACATCCAGCAAACCTCATCACTACCAATTCAATCACGACATGAATGTAGAGATCAACATTGCGATATTTCAAAGAAAGATTAAACAGACACCTCTCTTTCCGACTAATGAACTAGATTTGAAGGAAAATTAGGTCACATAATCGAAAAAAAATGTATGATGTTAACACTGATGACTGTCAAGAGGTATGTCCCTCTTCTTTTGGTTTTCTTTTCCATCATCTATTTTTCTTCCATTACTAACTGGTTCTTTGGAGCCGCATGAAACACCATCTTTTATTTCCAGAAGAACAAGAATTAAAACCAAGGAGTTTTCCTTATCAGGCATATAAAATGAGATTTCTTTCTATTTTTTTTATTTGTTAATTGAATTGTAAAAAAGATATGAAAATGTTTTGAAATTCAGTTGACTTTCAACCTATGCAACTAAATGTCCGATCTTGATAAGCGCAGTAAGCCGAAGACTATGTTTTCACTTTAGGCTTTTTCGAGACTGTCCAGACATCCTATGGGAGTGGTCTGGTCCCCTGTAGAGCTAGGCCTGTCCTCTGATTCATACTAGCCACTCTAACTTACCTGTCACCACCAACCTGCTCTTCCTCGAAACATTCGCACCTGCCAAGCTCGTTGTCCGTCAGGTTCTGGACAGTACTCTGAATGGCGCCCCCACAAGCTTTTAATGTACGCTTCAAATCGTTTTCCGTCACACGTCCAGCACAAAACATATCTCTGAAAAATAATACAAATAAAGTTGATCTGTACTTCAATAAGGTTCAGCTTGATAAATATCAGTTCTATAATAACAATTTCCAATCTATACTTACTCATTAATATATAATATGTATTATTATATTTATATTATTGAAATGATGAAAGTAGATGAATGTTAAAACAATCACAATAGCACATTGTTTTCAAAATTACTTCCTTTTCTTTCAATGATAAAAAATATGTTTATTATCATGTTATTAATCCCACAAGGTGTTTTTTTTTCTGTGAAAATCCCAAATGCCATTAGCTCAAGCAATTGTTATTTTCGTAATAACACTATAGAAAGCGCAAGTTGGATTTGCAATATCCAAACGTAATTATCAGGCACAAAGCATGCTATTTTCAAACCGAATTCTTATTCAGCCGAAGTAAAATGTTTCCCGTCTGCTAAGTCTGCATATCCAGTATCCCAAGTATTTCGCAATGTGCAGATGACCACAAATTAATATTCACAGGTTTGTTGCGATTCCATTTTTTGACTCCTTTAAATGTCTTAAACATTAATATTTATCCTATTAGCTTCACTATATTAATTTTGTCTAAGAATGTATATAAAATGACTTCAAGAGGCATCAGAATATAAAGAACAAAGGAAATTGGCATTGCAGCAAAATGTTAAAAACATTCTACTCATAATTTAAGTATTATGTATACAGCCAAGTATGCTCCAGGTCGTAGCGGTCATCCTCTCTACCAACCCAACCCTAAACATATTTTATAGTTGACTGGACATTTTCTTGGGCCTTGGCTATCCCTTACTTTGAAATGCCTTGCCTAACCACATCCAACTGGAAATTTTCATCAATGCCTTTACATTTCCAATTAAGACACATTACTTGGAACTTTATTATTCCTTAATCTAGCCTTTCTAAAGTTTCTGCCGTAAAGCGAATTGAGGCTCAATCTTAATGCGCTATACTAAATGCAAGTTATTACTATATTATTAGGATTATTCTCTGGAGTACAAGTCAACTCAGAGTATAAATTTAAATTTAGTTACTAGTAAATAGCGTACATTCAAAATCCAGAATGGTTGTGAATTGAAGTGAGATTCTCACAATTTTACATCAAAATCAACTTCAGTCTTGAAATATGAACATCCTGTGGTCGTCATCGTTGATTAGCTGTAATGCAGCTTATAGTTATATCTAGATACACCTGTTAACATTAGAATGTGGGAAATTGACTAGATCCTGACATCATTTAATATGCGCCATTTATTGGACACCTGACTGGAAGGTTTATTTGTTGCCGACGCTCGTAGTAGGAATACCAAGTTGTCTGGAATGGAGGCAATTGGCACTAACTTGATGCGTTTAGAATTACACTACCTATCCGACCACATAAGCTCAACTGACTAGCCCCCATTGGTGCTGATGGGTGTTAGCGACTTCAAGGCATGTCTTCTATTTACCGCCCTCAGAAGCCCCTTCCCGATATGTACATACTAACTAGTCTTCCTTTGGAGAACACTACAATAATTCAAACCACATATCTAAACAAAGACACTATGTAATACCTACTTTCATTTATGTGAGCAAAATACATAGCAACATAACCATTAAAATCACTACATTATGCGTATCATATGGTAATCAATGGCCATTTTCATAGATTATTGTCAGTAATACATTTTGACATATCACAATTAAATCATTTCGTTTTGTAATTCTGATCTGCTTTCTGACCACAATTGTTCGGCACCTAATTATATCCTTTCCTGCAAAAGAACCAAGGGCAGGTGTTATATACAACTACAGCCTGCCCAGAGCAGTGATAAGATCTGAAGAGCATCCTCAAAAGGCAATCAGAACCATATGCAACGACTCTCTAACTGGGATCTCCTTTCTCTTTGGATGTGCCAGCCAACAGCAGGCCTGAGTCACATAATCTACCACAGCTGTCCATCAAAATGCTACACCCAATAGAAAATGCAAGCCGATTGTTTGGCCCCGCCCACAATCATCAGTCAGCATTTGCCCACTGTATATTCGCAATCTTTTCTGTCAGCAAGGCAGCGTGGGACGATTATGTTTGAAGCAACAAGTAGCTATATCTGCCACTTTTAGCAATCAAATGGTGCTAAAAGTACAAGATAAAGCAAGGCCTCAAGCGCTTCAAATCCTACACGTTTCTGATGTGGATTACAACCACTAATACAACAAACTGTATCACTAACTGCTAAAGCTAGGCTTATACTTATCAGACTTTCTTCTTGTCAGACAAAGTTTAATTAGATTTTGTCTGATGAAGTAGAACACGGTCCAACTTGATTTATTACACCTTGCCAATATTGGTATTTTTAAATTTTATACAAAAATTAATATATTTGGCTGCTTAGTATACCATCTGCCATGAAAAATATTTATTTTAGAAAAAATAAAGCCTCTGTATTTATAAAGCACTCCAATTTGAAATCCTCTAATTCTTCCTTTAAATCCAACAAATATAAGCATTCATCAATCTGATTATTAAACTTTTTACATCACAACATAGCATTCTTAAAGCCCTGTCTAGGCTATAATATATTATTATTTGACAAAACTCTTGTATACCTATACATAGTTATGATATGCCTATATATAGACATGATGTGATGTCATCATGACCATATTCAGGCATGTCACATGTCATAATTTGATAGTCTGGACAGCTTTATAACCATGCAAAAGTATCTCTAGAATAAGAGTGCCACTCAAAAGCCCTGTTCATACTATCAAATTCTGTTTGAAAAAAACATGACATACCTAAATATGGTCATGATGACATCACATCATGACCATATATAGGCACATCATGGCTATATATGGGCATACAATTATAAAATTGTATTACTTTTTCCTCTACCTAGATGTTCTAGCAGTACTTCTTTGCAGAGAGAGAAAACTAAATCTTATTTAATATTTTTTCTGTCCTTCTCTCCACACTTAGCTGTCGATTGGCAAATTAAAAGAAAATTATTTCATTCCTTGCCAAGAAACGCCTACATAATACCGTTTCCGTACTTTTTGCATAGCTCCTTCAATTAGCTAGTAATCAACTCAAGAATTTTCATAGTAAATCAACAAACATAAATACTTTAATTATTTGAAATTAATATTAAAGATAATGTCAGTTTTAAGGTTTGAAGAATAAATTAAATCAATGAATAACTTACTATGTATATTTAAGTTATCAACTTTTAATTGAGATTTAGAACGGAAATATATTTTCCTTGCCAATCCAACAGATTATAAGTAAATCCATTCCTATGTATTCTTGGCACAGAGCCTTCAATTTGTGAATTATCTAAACATTTTTATAGTAAAATGTCTGAATAATCTACAAGAACTGAAAAATTAAATCTGTCTCATTTGAAATTGATGATTTCTTTAAATTTTAATATTTATTTGTATGAATTACCCTCCTCAACACTCCTTGTAGGAGTCAAGCAAGAAACCAGTTTTGGCTGGCCCCACACTGCCCTATAGGCAGCCACAGAGCAGCGCTAATACCGCGCATAAACAAAACATTTCTCCCTAATCCCACCTTTCATGTCAGGGTTATCCAAGAAGCCAAGCGTCTCCAATTGAAACCAGACGCTGGCCGGGACCTTCAGTGTAAGGAGAAACAATACCTCTCGGCCAACCGCTTAGCTAAATGAGCTTAATGTATGAAGAATATTTTTAGGAGTATGTCACATTTAACCACAGATTGTATCTTTAATCATAAATAAGTAAAAACTGTACCTATCAGCAAAGTATTGTGTGGCTACATCACCAATAGGCAGCTTAGATAAAACCACTTTCGCTCCACTCTTGTATATATTTTCAAGTTTCTCGTACAAAATTGCCCACTCTGCGTCTACTATGGATTGGTATTCCTGGAAGACAAAAAATAGCAGTATAAGATTAGAAAGCTACTCAATTTATACTCGCTAGTATAACCCAGTCCATTATAAACCATCAACAACATTTTTTTAAACCTTATTCCTAGCATTCTTTTCTTTCATGGAAAGCTCACAATCAATTAAAATAATATAGTAAAAGAAAGCAAACGTTTGGGTATTAACAAGGAAACACAAATTAAGTTGTAATATAATGTACAGCATAACACACATTCTACGTACAAATATAACACAGATATTTATATACCCCATCAGTATGCATATAGTACACATAAGTAGAAACCCTATTAATGGGACACCTCTGGGACCAAAAAGTGTCCCCTTCATATAGGTGACCCCCTTAATAATGTCTGGCTGTAGTGTTAAAAAAAATCCTGACCAAAAAAGTCCCCTATAATAAGGGTGTCCCAAAGGAGGGGTTCTACTTTACATACATGCCAATTTATAATACACATAATATATACATGTCAACAAATAATGAAATATTACAGCAATTTATAAACTAGGGAATAAAATATATTAAAATTTACATAAATATATATTTATTTAAATCACTCAAGGGAAATTAAATATATTTTTTAATTAAAAATTTCGATGATCAGTGCACTGTTTATTTTACACTTTCATAGACATCAAAATTGAAGTCAATGATCCAATGATCTGGTAGAATTAATAACCAATAAGGTCATAATTTTACCCTCATGGTTATGTTTAGAATTAAAGTCAGTAAACTTGCTAGGACAGGAACATGTATTTATGAATTAAACAAGTAAAATGCAAGCTGTAATAACAATATTGCACAGTCACTCGAACTTAGAGCATGAGTTGATAATTAAATTATGACTCCATCAAGAACATATTCAACATTAAATATCAACAGATTTCCAAGTTGGTACAGTAATAATTGTATTTGAGAATGATTGCCCACGCATGTATTGTATATGGTACGCCTGGAAAACAAGTTTTTTCGTGATTCATTTATAAAATTGGTCTTATCCATTCATTACTCACAATCTCATCATAAATAAAGTCTCTGCTGACAATACCAACAACTTGAATACTAAGCTTATGAATCATGGAGAGTGAATTAACAAACAGTCAATATATGTTTTCAAAGATATTTTTTTTTTAAATACAGTAATAATGTTGTGTTGGCCTTTAATAGCTCATTGTAGTACAAATGCCTCAAAGCGATTAATATTATTTACCCGTTATTGGAAGAAGACCTATATAGCACATGCTGGGGGAGAACTGCAGTTAATAGTTAAGAAAACTGGTATTTAAATATCGATTAGGCACCACCTTATACTCCTAAGTGGAGAGAGAGGCAGGTATAGATAAAAGTCCTAGTTAAAGGATACAGGCATATGGTTAGATCAAACTCCAAACTTTCTGATTAGAAGCCTATCATCTAGCATTCACAGGATTTGTTTTATGGTCGTGAGAGACAATCTTGTCACTTGAAAAGACTTCAACCCAGGAATCTGGGATTGGAAGGCAAGCATCTTGTCTTAACCACCAAAGTACTGTACACCACCAAAAGCTACATTTCATTTTTTCATTTTATCAAAGATCTTATATTAACAAGATAGCGTTCTCCATAATTTCTGCGTGCAAGTTCTGTAGTAACGCAGTATAGGAACCTCCCTTGCAATTACAATTACTTTTAAATGTTGTCATTTATGATATACATGCAAATTCTGGAACAACAACCATAGCAACAACTAGGATGCCCTCTCTCAATTACACTTACCTTCTGTTGCTTTCTGCGTGAATGGACGCTTCTAATTTGTTACACGCAAACTGAGGAGAGCGCTATCTTTTTATACAATCTTTGTATTTAATTATATAGCTATTCAAGGGAGTCTACCACAAAGATTAATTATATAACTTGTGAAGATTGTCATTATATATCTATTCATAATAAACAATTTGAAAATAAATACTTAATTTAAATTTGTGTTAAGGTTTCATCCAAATGCGTAAACAGGCAGAATATTTACAATGATTAATTTGAAACATCAATATATTAATAATTTGTCCTTGTTTACAGGAAATATTTCATTCAACTAATTATACATTACATGAGGACTTGAAATCAAATACACTATTGAAATTTAGAGCCATATATTCCAACATTAAAGAATTGAATAATTACCAGAATATTACAAAGCGATAAATGATATCTAGAAAGAAAATTTATGGATTGGAATGAACAGTTGCTGTTCAGAACATTTCAAACAACAAATTTATGTTTAATATTCTTTCTGTTACAGGCCATCAGTTTTTTCAAATTAATTCTAAATTTTTATCCCCCTCACATGAAATAACAATCAGTATTTTCCAAGTAAAAATGAGTGGTTGTAAAAACTAGCTTTCTTTTCAATGTTTTCGAAATTATATATAACATGTAACACCGTCTCAAGGATTTTTATGTGACAGGTTGTTTTTTTTGTTGTGGTGTCCTGGGGAAGGAGCTGTCAATATACTGCGTAACGATGTAGCTGCTTCAACGAGTCATGTTTACACTTTGCAAAAAAAGTTCAATGTCAACAATAGTTATCGTCACAATGTTATAGTGTATGCATATAGGCTCACCTGAGAATAGCACAATTAACAACATTACCAATCTGACCCAGATAAAACAGAGTGCAGGGAAGCATAATAAAGTGATGCGCCTGGGGAGATATTCCCCTGGGACGACAGGTTACGCAGGGGGGAGGCTTTCCATCGAGACTAATCTGTTTTATGTCATCCAGGAAACATTTAATATTTTTACCTGTTAAAGAAATCACCTTGGATGAAATTACTACCTTTTAATTAAGAGAGGTTTTAAGCGCCGTTCTGTAAATTTGTGTGTTAACATCCTGACCCTCACCACGTAGTCTTTCCTCTTGTTTATATTTTTGACCAGCTGTTTAAAGTTTTTTCATGATCAGGTGTAGCACAGCTGTTTACATCCCAGATGTTCAATTGACACATTTGCGCTTAAAACAGCTTATCTAATGAGTGCATAGGGACAACATCATACAATCCCTCTTAACTATCTTAACCGGAGCAATTAAAAAGCAAATCAGGTAGTACTAAGGAGGGGGACAATTTACTACAGGTCAGTAAGGGGTTAATCTCGCATATTAAATAAGTTGTACTAAATATGAACAACTCTAAAATGAGTACTTATATATACAAACTTTATTTAAATTCATAGCCTAATGGATTTAGGTTTGAAATGCATTTATGTAGCCCCTTCCCAAATAAATATTACATTATATAATAAACTTCAGGCTGTAAAGTAAATCATGTAGATGATACAGAGTAATGATTCATAATTGACTTGTTTGCATGAAAGTAAAACACGGACAATGTCGCAAGCATCATGTTTCCGCTGATTATGAGCTGTGAATTACACTGCCCCCTATCTCTAAATCTCGATACCCGTCAGAAATAAACAAAACTTCTGTTGCAAAAAATCAATGTTCACAACGACTCCCTCAAGAAATCAATGAACAATGATTAAATTGGCACGCAGAACAAGTCCAGTGTAGATTACAAGGGTTTCATTCAGTTGTATTTTTAGAAGTTTTGTAGTTAATAAATAAAATAAAATAAGTAATTAGAAACATACTGCTTGCAAAAAGTCTAGTAAATATAGCACTGTATAAGAAGTATAGTACAGTATATTCTAGGCGTCAATGCATAACATGCAATATTTGTACAATATTGGATGTCTAGGTTATAATTAATTTCCAGGTATGTACAGCATATACATATAATGCAGCAATGTTATAGGTAGGAAAACCTAATGCTAGTTAATTTTCTGCTTGTATGAACCTAATTTTCGGAAATTCTTGAGATTTCTTTTATACTCAAACTGTTTTTTTCCCTTAATTTCATGATCGTCAGCTATGCCTAATTTGGTAGAAATTCTTAAGCTCCAAATATCATCGTTCAGTGCCAAACTTAAGAATGCACGAACGTAAGAATGCAATTGTTTGTGTTAAATTGTTTGCGTTAGATTTCCTGCATAAATACCAAAAAAAAGGGGGTATAGTGCCATAAGGAAGAACATGGGGACAATGATGTTCCATCAATGTACATTTATAAATTGTCCATAATTGCCTATGGATCCAATAATGAGGGGAGTGATCATCCTCTCTATTGCAGATACATGTAGTTCAAAATACCAGTATACACATAAGGAGGAATGAATAAATTAAATAATAAATAAACTAATGCTCAAAGAATAAATGAATGAATGGGAGGGAGGCATGACATACAAACTGAAGGCACTGAACAGGGTTCGGACAAGTTCATTCCTATGGGAAAACCTTGTTCCTCTGGGAAAACATGTTCAAAACAGATAAAGCAGGAACATGCGTCAAAAATCGATGTTCAAAACTGATGAAAACTTTAAAAGAATGATAAAGATCTGATAAAATAGCCAAAGTCATTTAGGCGGTGTATCAATGAACTCAAAACGACGTCCGCCTGTCATGCGTAATTAATATCATGTTGCTACAAGGACACCAACTTGGACATTATCTAGAAATGTTTATTACTTGCCTGATTACTTCAACACAAACCCCAAAATATCAATCCTGTCACATTTGCTTAATTCATGATTAACAAGAAACTTTGTCAGAAAAAATAAATCATTTGTTAAAAATAAAGAATGTGCAATAAAAACATGCGCTTCCCAGTAAAAATAGAAAATTTACCACACCCATGTCATTTTAACTAATATGTACAAAATGAAATGTGTATATCATGGTGAAATAAACGAAAAGGAATCTTGCAACATATTCATGGACGAGGGCAGCAGACATGTTTTCCAAAATCTGTGTAATGTTCTAAAAGGAAACTTCCCATTAATACACTGGACGTATTTAAATTTACCAAGAACTTGATGGTATGCTAAACTCAATAATTTATTTAATCATTACTACATGCCCAACATTATTGAATATTGATATATCATCATTTTATATTCCACATAAATTTTCCTATCTTAGAGGGGTCACTAATTGTTTAATAAAGACCAATATGTATTTGAGCTTGTGTGCAAAAAGCCCATGTTATTGTTCACTACGACCATTTCTTGGTTAGGCTAGGCCAAACGCAAATGACAAGCCAAAAAAGCTTGCTACACTGCTGGCTATAAATAACATTTATGAAGCCTAGATTTCTGGGATAGATGATAACAATGAGATTGGCTTTATAAACAATTATAATCATGCTGCAACGTCCCGATTAGTTTTGATAAAAGAGAACAATTATTCCGGACCAGTAAAAAGATAGGTTGCATGTTTTGTATTATCTCACTATGATATCCTGTCTTGTCAAGACCCTTATTAATTGTGATGATGAACGATGTGTACACATATTCTTTATTATTTATTTTATTTTTATTTTATTCATTTGGCATAACGGCTCAGGAGCCACAAAAGCGGAAAATCCACTGTCGCCTGAAGGACGTGCGGCTCCCACAAGTTATCACTGATAACTTGTGATCAGAAGGTTATAGTGGCAAGGCATTTATGTAATGCATTTTTAAACTTTTATATAAAAGGCTAACACTAATGTGTATAAAATTCATATCAAATACAGTGATTGATAAAATGACGACATTATGATTGACTTATAAAATCATGTTAGTATACATTATTCATATATAGTATTATATTATTATAAATATTTTCATTAGCTTACCTCAACATTGTCTACTCTAACTTCAGCATTGTCTTTTTCTGCCTTCAATTCTAATTCTATATTCAAAAGTGCTATTTTAGGATTAAGGTACTTCTTTGGTTGCATTTCAAATCCAGCATATGAAAATGTCTTTTTAAATGCTACACCGGCAATCAATCTGGATTCCTAAAAAAATACCAAAAATATCAATTATTTTTTTGATCATAGTATAAGGAAGGAAAGTAATTCAATTTGTTGGGCATTAGGAAGGTGCAGGCCCCAATTACCCTCCACACTGCAGCATCTAACAGCTGAAAAAAGAGAGCACAACTGTTTGACCAGTGGACAGATGTATACTTGTGAGCTAGTAAAAATCTGTTAGAAATTAACCCAACTCCCACAAATTTAGATTCACTATTTACTTATTTATTTATTATTAATTATTCCCTGAAGCCAGTAGACCTTGGATATCATCATTCATATATGTAAAAAAAAAGGTTTAAAGAAAGCTTTCAAAGCAGATAAAAAATTTGTAATACAGTATAAATAATGAAGTCAATCTAAAGTGCTATTGCCTATTTAAAAAGGAAGCTTTTGATTGTATGACACGGAAGGACCTATAATGTAAATGTGTCACTAAGAATCCATATGCACATGCAAGAACGTTCAAGTTCTCATTGTCATCTGGATTCTAGGATGCAGTTTGGCCAAAATCAATGTTGTGGCAGACAACGTAGAACGGTCACAAATGAGTGAATCCGTTTCTAGCGTTACGTCGTCGGGCAAATCAAAAGCTCCCAAATAACAGGTACCTCAAGAGCTCCTCCGGTGACCTTCTTGATACCAATCATGTCAAGAGGTAAAAGTTCATCCAGAATCATGACAGCGTCAACAACCATCTTGGAGAAGAACTCCTTCTGACTCGACACCAGTTTGGAACTTAGAGTCGTAGATGCACACTTTATCAATAAGTCTTTAAGCTCTCTGTAACGCAAAAATAGATATGATATGGCGCTTAGAGACTTTGTTTATTTTTATTATTATTATTATTATTATTATTATTATTATTATTATTATTATTATTATTATGTAAAATAAAAATATCTGCATGAAATTAAGTCCGATTTAGTGAAATTATTATTATATTATTATTATTATTATGTAAAATTAAAATATCTGAATGAAACGAAATTTGTAAAGTATTAAATAGCAGAAATAATAATAATAAAGCGCTATTCTCCAAGGACACACAAGGAAATCTGTAATTTACTCTATAATTGTATTTGTTTTTCCTTACATTCCATGGGAATTATAGGTTGTTTACATAATAATGTGGGAAAAATAAGTGGTATAGTTGAATTAGAGCACCCTTAACCCTTTCCAGTCTTATGGTGTCACAACGACGCTCTCTTCGACCATACTTTATAGCGAGGGGCGTCGTATGTGCGCCCTGTATAGCTTTCATGGCAATTATTTTATAGCTAGGCTGCCCTCTATAGGATTTTTTGAGTGTGATGTAGGAGTATTTCTGTAGAGGGCCTCCTGGTTAGACCAAATAAAATGCTGCGGCCAGCAATTTGTATTGTATTTTATATGAATTGAAACAAAATCTTTAGTATTCATATTTATATTATTTTCTTTGGAAATTTGTTGCTATATAAAATTAGATAATTTATCAATTTGTATTGTATTTTATATGAATTGAAACAAAATCTTTAGTATTCATATTTATATTGTTTTCTTTGGAAATTTGTTGCTATATAAAATTAGATAATTTATCAAACTCACTCATTATCTTTCTTATTAATCTTGACAGCAATCTCCTTAATTTTTTCTACAGCTAGTTGGGTTGCTTTCCTGTAGGCCCTAACAATCACTTGGGGATGCACATTATCTTCAACATATACTTTGACTTGGTTTAGGAGCTCAGCAGCTAGCATTGTAACAGTTGTTGTGCCATCTCCGACCTGTTTTTAGAAACACAAAGACAAAATATATATTTATATTTTCATATATTGAACAATTTTTATCTTATTATTATCTGTTGTAGACAGATGAGAATAGCTGGTACTGGTTTACCGGGTAGCTCAGGCACAAGAGACCCTAAGGGTAGAAGCAAGTTACAATACACGTCTCAAGCACTTTGAGACTTTGACATAAAGAACTATATAAATCCAACTATAAATAAACCAATCCCAAATCTACCATCAAAAAACCCTTCCGTTTCTTGGGAAAATCAGTTGTTATCAAAACATATCTTTTCTTCCAGAGCCAGGCTTTAAGCCTAATAGTCAAATATCACTGCATGAAATTCACAAATGATAACATGGGCAATAAATGAATGCACACACAACATGATAGACAAAACTCTTTTTTTGGCATTGCAGTTCAGATAACCAGAGAGTGTTTCATCTAGAGATGCACTACAAAATTGGCTGCTGCCTACCCTCTGACAGATCATGGCAATAAAAAGAATATAAATGGTTTCACCTCTGCGTCTTGTGACTTGGCTATGTCAACAAGCGTTTTGGCTGCTGGATGGACAATGTCTAAAAGCTTCACTATTGTTGCACCATCATTTGATATCGTTACGTTTCCTAGAATAAAGATAATAATAAAAAGTCCAGAGTATGTTAAGGATCTTCACTTTTGTGGCACCATCATTTTATTCGTTATCTCCTAGAATCAAAATAAGAACTTTCTATATTTATTTTATTCAACTTATCATTTTCTTGCCTTTCTGATTGTCCACTTTAAACTTATTACAGAAAAGAAAGATGGCTGAAGAGAATATATTCAAATGGTATTGTATTTTTTATGTATTATAAAAAAAAAAAAAATTTGCTGTATTAAAACTGATAAAGACAAGGAATATTATTACTTACCTCCCCCTTGTGCTATCAGCTTATCCATACCCCTTGGGCCTAGGGTGGTACGGACGGCATCTGCTACCACCTGGCAGGCTGTGATGTTGCTAACAACTTGTGACTTGCCCTGGGAGGCTTCAGTCCCTTCTTTCAAAAGGATAATCTGTGGTTGCTAAGTAAAATAAATTTAAGACATTTAAACAGAGTAAAAACTAGAAAAAATAATGGTTATTCTAATTTAAATAATAAAAATATTTAATAATTGTAATAATCATAATAATAACAATCTCAAAGTAAATAATGGCATACATAGTTTACCGCTCTATATCACAATATTTATTTATAAATTTATTTATTTATTAAAAATTTGTCACTATATAGACAAATACATATTGACCAGGGGCGTGACTAGAGATGACATGGGTTAAAGCCCAACACAAGAAGTGGTCATCTCTAAACCCCTGGCCAACAACAATAAGATATGATATATAAAACAAATAAAATATACAAAAAATATGGTAAAAAATTTAAACATTCAAATCATCAATAAAATAATTAAAAAGCAAAGTTTTGAAAGAAATACAGTCAACTTTGGATCAAGTAATAAATAACGTACAGTACTTTAATCGCCTAACAAGGTATCAAAAAGTTTCACCTAACACACAATAAAAAAAAGCATTGTCTGTTTCTTAAAATATGAGGACACTATCACTGGAAAGCACTATACTGTAGAAATCAAATTATGTATTCTTCAGCTTTTATAATTGCAAAGAATACATAATGCTATGTTAAATAATTTTCACCAAATATTCGTCTATTGAGCTGCTGGGTCATGGAGGCAGCTGGTTTCTTTATACTTCATTAATCTTAAAATAAAAAACATGATTCAGATGATAATGGGACACAGCTGGATTCTTACACATGATAAACAACGTACTAGGTAAAATTGAAATCACATCTCATTTGGTATGCATCACTGAAAACAAGCATAAACCTAGGCCTATACTTTTTTTTAATTATAATACATAATATAGACTTCTAAGATATAGGCTATAGATTATTTGAGCAGAATTTTATAGTGGACTGTGCATAAATGCAATACAGCCATTGATGATGAGGCCATCTTTGCGAAACACTAAAAAACTGCCTCTAAATTGCTATTCTTTCTCAACCTCATCCAGCAGTGATTTGCCACTAAATGTAAAAAGTCTTTTTTTTTTATTGGGGCAATTTTATATTAAGTTGATTTGTTTTAAAAAGCATGAAAAAAAAATCTGAAATCTCAGGATTAGAAACTGGGACCCTGGGACTGGAAAGCAAGCATCTTAATAAACACCCAACCATTCATGCAACAGTAATAAAACAGTTCCAGCATAATATGCTTTAAGTTCAGCATGCTTGTTTGCTAGGCATTGCACAGGCAGTCCTATTTTTCTTATTTCTTGGTAATTATTATGGGGAAAATGCATATAATGCTGGGCCCAGCCACAAGGACAACTATTATCCTAAATTCTCAATCCATTTGTTATGGATAATGTGCCGTACTAAAAGAGTTAACAATTGAGAGGCTCGCTAGGCCTAGGCCTAGGCTACAACTGCGCTGTTCAGAAATTATCGCCTAAACCGTCACTCCCATCATCTAGTGGAAATGAAGAAGGTTCTAGAAACAGATCATTTTAAATCGCTCGTTTGTAACACAAACATCTACCAAAGTATTCCAAAAAAGTTCATTTTATTCAAAGCTGAAAAACATCGAGCTTAGATCATTTTTTAAGATCGATTCCAGTGGATTTTTATACTTACCATCATTTCGATTGTTTCCTAGCAATACAGTAACCCTATTTCCAAAAATGTAATGTGTGTGCAGTATAATGCAGTGGAGATGTTAAAAACAAACAAATTTAAAAATTGATAGAGGGCGTAATTTCGAGCATGGAGAACAGTGCATCTTGCATCTACATTGAGTAAATAATTTGCACATTTTGGACACTTTCAAAAGCCTTTGGGTCGTGTTTCTTAGACATTTCATTTACTGATTTACAGTGTTCACACATGCTTCCAAATAATGTTGGGGAGAGTCCAGGTTTCCCTTGTACGGCTGCTAGATACCAAGGCTACTTATGAAGCCATCAACCGATCTGCAGTTCTGGTCCAGCAAGTCAGATGGAGAAAGATGAGGACAGACCCCATCAACAAGTCCAAGATTGGTCGTGTCAGGGAGCGTACGCCGATAGATCCATGGGAGTATGAATATTTAAAGACTAATATTGCATATTATAGAACAACCATAAAATCTTTAAGGTAATTAAGAATTGAATGTACCTTCCAAGGTTTTTTTTTTGTCATTAAAATATTATGATATTAATATTTAAATCATGTTCCTAGGCCAGCCCTATCCTCTAGTGCCATGCTGTTCTGTAAAGTTTTTTAAATGCACGGGTGATACCGCAAAAATCTCAGCTACGAAAGTAGGTGCGAAGAATCGTATGTGCCCATGGTGCCAAACTGAGTGAGTGCTAAACTGAGCATTGACAAATATCATTTAGGGCTTCCAGGCGAGAGCTTTTTGGTAGATTTATACTCAAGTTAAAGAGTAGGCCTATTATACCATAATTATAGTACGTAGAATTCGTTTAGTGTCATCAAGTTCAGAACAAAGAACCTCTGAGCTGGAAAAGGTGCTCCATTTCCATTTTTATCTGGACATCAAAAATCTTAAGCCCAGTTACTACACCTACCTTTAAAAATATTTTTCTCGTAAAAGTTCAGTTCAACAAAATCAATCTCTTTTTTGTGTCTAGGCCCATTTATTCTTATGATAAAGAATCTTTGTCACTTGGGTGATACATATACCCATTCAACTCGGGTCGCTTGAGCTCCTTTTGTCATGGTAAAAATTTATAAAATTATAAATATTAATATTCATTTTTGTAAAAATGGTTTATTATAACAATATAAAGTTGTTAGCATTAGTAGTGATATATACAGTACAAAGGTACAGTATCTACCTGTGTAACCTGCAAGTAAAGTAAATTTTAAAATGACCTGACACCTCACATGATACAGTGGGTATTTACTCAGTACTGTAATTCAAACTGCACACTATTAGTTTTACTCTTTGTTTGTGTATGAATTTTTACCTTCTTGTTGTGAATCTTTTTGATAAGTTTAGGGTTGAAGTAAGCCATAACAATTACAAATCTGGTCAATTTTCCAAACTGACCCCAATTTTGGTTTCAAATTGACGTGAACTATATTGCTTGAACTTTATTGCATCACCTATTAATATCCACAGCATGATCCATACCTGCATTGATGTATATAGCGAAGAAAGAGGTCTTGGAGTCAATGTTGTGCTCCATGATTAGAGAGGATGCACTCCAATCCTACCCCTAAGGATAAAGGCTAATTTGCATTGTAACTGGTAAAATATTCACTTTTTAAACCTAATTTATGCTACCTTCTCCAATTACAGACTGTTGTTCCAACAAGAATTTCCTAATCTAAGGGTAAAGGGAAGGGATGTCCAAAGTACATTAAAAGATCAAGAAAATCAAGGAGATGATGAAGAATTCCAAAAAATACTCTCATGGAATGAAGAAGAAAATAAAAAAACAAAGGAACTAAGGTATGTTTTGGGTAAAGTATTGATAACCCGATACATAATATATTAATGAAGACAGACAGCATTATGTAACAATTTCCAGGGAAGCCTAGAAAGAAATATGGGACCTTATGCCAACACTGACAATACAGTACATGTAGCCCAATGAAAACTGGTATAAATAAAGGGGAAGGGTGTGTTTGGGTAGAGAAATCACTTAAGGGAGACTTTAGATCAATTTTTTTTATCACACTGTATGAAGTAATACCCATGGTCAGCTGATGTTGGGGAAACATTAACTAATAGTGTTTGCATGAGATGTGGAAGCAGTTAGGCGCAGTGGAAATGGTTTGGTTTCCCAACCTCGAGGTCAAGTTTAGCGTCCCACACAGGGGCGCATCACACTAGAAACTGGAGAAAAATCTACCGCCCTATGACTCGGCAATTATTTTCTTTACTTTGGGATTTTTGCTTTCTGATCCGAGTGCTGCAGATTGTGCCTATTTGCGGAAGAATTTAGGACCTTTTGGTTTATATAATTTTCCAGAGAGGCAAGGGAAGCTGAAGAAAATAGGGAGAAGGAGGAGATGATGTTGCAGAAAATAATGAAGGCTGATGAACAACATGCCAAAAAAATGGCAGAATTGGAAGAGCTTGTGAAGAATGAAATGGTAATTCAGAGTCAGTTTTATTTATAAATCCATTATGAATGAAAGCACAGTCACTCCATAGAGTGCATACCATATACTGTATATCCACCTTGTGCCTCTGAATAAGCAATTAGTATAGTTGCTTATCATACACTAGAGGAAATTATTATATGACGGTTAGATTAATGCATAAAATAAATTCCTGAGGGCCTCCAAGGATGAGGAATAATACATGTAGGGCACCTATGGGCTGTTCCATTATTGATCTATTAGTTTTGCATAATTCTGCTACTGTAACCAACAGACAGTGATGAATACACACCTAGCTAAAAAATTTTAAAAGACTTGCTACACTATTGCAAAATAATACTATCTGCCAATCCATATCCATTACATTCTGGGTTAGTATATTAATAAATTGATGTACTGTGTCATATTTATTTTATTTTTAGGAAGCAAGTAAGAATTTCATTACACTAGAGAACATGGCAGAGAAAATAGAAGAAGCTATAGATAATAAAAAGAATTACAATTTCCTGATCAACAAAACTGGTAAAATAATCCTCCCGGAAGACACATCATGGACGGAATTACGTGAACGAATTGATGACCAGGAACAAAACAAACAATCAAGCTAACATTGTTGGAAATTAATTCACAAGATCAATAGCATTTCCGTAAGACTAATCTCAGCTTTTTTATGCGCCAAAGAGGTTTTGTTCAACAAGTTTTTATGCTGAAAAGGCATGACCAATACAAACACCAGCATTTTGAGGGGCAGGCAGCTTACGTTATAATCATATATACAATATACAGTACATACACGATGTATTATTTTTAAGTTCTCAAGAAATATGGAAATGAATTTCATATTCTTTGAATTCCAGAACAACACATTATTTTTGTCTACTTTATAAGCATGTATAGGAAAGACATTAAAAATAATATTGTGAAAGTAATGTTTTTTTAATAGCACATATTAGAAAATTCTGCATTAAGGGCTGTTTTCCATGGATACAGAATCAATCACACAATGCACAACCGCCCAAATTCCTAAAGAGAGTTCTTCATTGAGCAGCTATTGAAATTCAGACTACCTTAAGAGTGCTGTATCTAGTCTTGAAATGGGCAGGGCATGCAAAGGTGAAGTGGGGGATCGATGATTGAGGGAGGGCTAGGTTGCAAAATAAGGAGATATTTAACTACATAAGCGTGATATTTTTTGCTCCAGACATTTTCCAAAGGAGGGGGGCCCTGATTGGGGTTGTGAGCCCCTACACATCCCCTAGATATGCTACTACACCCATGTTCATTTAAAACCATTCAAATCCTCCAATTTATTGAAATTCAGGATTGATGTTGATGTAAATAATATATGCTGTATTTATTAATCTGTATTGACAAGCAAATAACTACCGATTAAATTAAGTACAGGCAACTTTAATAAAGTACAGTATAAACATTTATTTTCCTGACAATGGAAAGTCTGTAAAAAAAATCAAGGTATTTATAGACAAAAATAAACAATCTTCAAGCAAGTTGCATAATTTAAACATATGCTACTAAATACTGACAATTGTTTTGGAAAATCTTTCACTGTATCTTTGTAATAACAGATGATGCAAATGTTATTTACATAGCTTGTAATACAACAAAAATATTTTTATAAGTCGATGCTTATAGGCATTTTAAAGATGTTTTGATGTTAGAATGGCAAGGTATAATTATTTCAGCAACATGATTTACAAAAATAAATTAATTATAAATGTTTCTTTATTGTAAAAAAAAAATCTTTATTGGTTTTCATTCTAATAGGAAATCAGAAATTCGGGCTGGAAACTGGGGACCCACTGCAGCACCACCCAACTTTACTACGTAACTGGCACATACAGATACATTGTCCTTAACCCGCCTAACTCTCAATATGAGGGTTATTCAAGGAGCCAAGTGGTCAGACTCCAATTAAAACCTGACGGTGGCTGGGTTTGAAACGGGGTCTTCAGCACAAGAAGCAGGAACAATACCTCTCCCTCTCAGCAAACCGCTCAGCTCATATCTTGATATATATTATATATATATACTGTCTCTTATACACATCTAGATGTGTATAAGAGACAGTAATTATATAAGTGAAATAACTTCAAGTAATGAATGATTGAGTTAACAGGAAAGATTATTTCTTGAGTTGAAAGAAGGACTGTTCCATTTAATGAGGCAGAAAAGAGGTGAAATGAACAGTCCATCCTTCTTACAATGAAAAAAGTCTTTCCATTGCAAAAATAAAAACATTATTTACCTACAGTACTTGTTTTTACAATTAGATTTAGGCAGGCATGTAATGTAACAAAACAGAAAATATAGAAAGGGAACTTAGTAACATGAAGAATAATCCACATCAAACAAAAATAATTTTGTACTATTTTCTTTACATGTTTAATATGGTAAATTAGACAGTACCATGTAAGCAATTAACAAATTTTTTTTTTTTTTTTAGCTTTATTACAAAAACAGCTACATGCTATCTTTACTAGACCTGAGCCCCTTCATGTTCAAGAAGCCAGCGTTTGATAACATCCCCCTTCCCAGACATGTATTTGCCTAAGGTACCATCGCTTTTCGTCACACGGTGACATGGCACTATCAAAGGGGTCGGATTTGTCCGCATAGCTCCGCCCACTGCTCTGCTAGCCTTGGCATTACCAGAGAGTTCAGCTAGCTTGCCGTAAGTGACTGTTTCACCACAGGGAACATCATTTTGAAGTGTCATCCACACTTTATAGTGAAAGGAATCTAAGAAAATAATGTAAATAAAAGTCAAAATTCAGCATTACAGTAATTAATTACCATGCAGAAATAGTATTTATAGTGTGCAAGACTAGAGAAAATATTTGGCAACCTCTTAATGATCACTGTCTGCGTGAGTTTACTGGTAGTGCGCCCTGCAACAGGGTGTTCCAGATTATAGGAATAAGGCAAGATAAATATTTAAATTGAAAACATCAGACCCATACTAAACATTTCCCCTTCCCTTATAACTCCCATGTCAATATTCTTGGATATGCTACAAATTTTAGTATATTTCATGTTACCTGGATTTTTGTCTGGAAGATGTAATGCTGGGAGTGACATTTTCCTAGCTTTAGGAAGATCTGTGAAGTAAGTCTTGAGCCAATTAACAGTTGCTGCCATCACATCGTTAGAATCATTTTTTCCATCAATAATCATCACAACTGAGCTGTTAAAATGTTAAAAAAATATATATTATTTCAAAAGTAATGAATTAACAGATGGTCATTTAAGTCATAAGTTGAAATTGGTGTGCATTTTTCAGAAAATTTTCTCATTTCCTGAAGCAAAATCGATGGGCCTCGATTTCTAAAACAGATTGATAAATTAATATAACATACAAGAGTAGATTCATTCACACCATACCAAGAATAAAGAAACAATAAATAAATGTTAATAGGCCCCTATACAGTTACAGTGGCGGTATAACAATTAAAATTCCGGTGTTAAGTACAGGCAATACAATATACAAGTAATACAGTATTTTAAATGCTTATAAAACTGAACATAAAGTAGGAACTAAGGAGTTGAACAAAAATAACAATGGTTTATTTAGTATTTATTAATGTTAAGCTTTATCTTTAATAAACAATATATCCAATCCAAAATATTGTATATAATGTAACTTACTGTACTGTATGTGTAGATGTACAGATTCAGTAATAATAAAAGAAGCTTGCACCACACATACATAGAATCAGAAAACAAAATGAAGAAATTGACATTTAATTTAACATCGTTCATCTTAAATGGAGGATCCAAAAGTGGTAAAAGAGCTATACCCACTTCCCCACCCTTTCCCCCTTCCCAGCCAGCAAAAAATGTGTTAAATTTTGATTAGATATAAAAACTTAGGGAGTTTTCAGGTGTATATCCTCTGAACTAGGGAAAGGAAATCCTCTACTAAACTATCCGCCTCGTCCCATTGGCTCTTCTTAACTGGTGCTTAGGTGCTTATCCCCATTCCGGGAAGAAACTCCTAGGATGTTCCGGGGAAGAAACTCCTAGGATGTTCCCTTGATCACATTACATACTTGTTGTTGTTGAGTTCTGTGGTTTCTGTGAGGTTGATCTCATGGACCCCAGCACTGCAGGCTTTTATCAACACCCGGCCAATTGGCGTACCAAGAGTCGTAACAGCTAACTTGCATGTCGCCATGATAGATTTGGACACTGTTGGAACTGTTATAGAATTATAAAAGCAGAATGAAATTGTGTCACTTTTTAAACACAAATTAAACAAAACTTAAAATATTAATGTCAGCCATGTCAATCTGCTCGACTGTACTGTAGTATCTGAATGCCTCCATCCCATCCTCATCCTCCTCATCCTTCCCACGAATCAGCACCCCTCTGCACTTAATATTGTCAATCGTATTATAGCCTTTATGACACAACACTGAGTACGAGATAAAAAGGAAGAAAGCATAGGCTATGTGGAAGCATGGATGATGATACCTACTACTAGACTACTACACTGCTGGTGCCACTCTAATCCCGTCTCAATGTGTGTTGTAGATAGAGGAGTGGGCGACGTCGGATGCTACTCACCTAGGCCTACCGACTGTATATATACTGATGCTGTTTTGGAGGTAACTAACCGTTTACAACAGGCGTTAATTAATAACTATTTGACAACTCGTCTGTACCAAAGAACACACGCCTAGCTAGTAGACAGATGGAAGTCTGTACGTACGTGTAGGTCTACAACAACACTACACATGTCATCATGTGCGAACTTATTATTCCCCCCTCTTTCTGGACAGCGCCATCAACGAATAAAAAAGTAATACAGTATTGGACGCCAAATTAATTTGGTATTGAGCGCATTAAAGAGATTATTTTCCACATAATTTTCACCGAGTAACTGAATAAGGCCTGGAACTTAGGCTATTGTGAGCCATGTGTAACTTATGATAAGTAGTGGAGGGAAATTTTTCGGGATCTCAAATCCTGAATTCGATACGCTTCTCTTCACAGTGTTTCACTTAAAGGCCACTGATTTCTACTATAATAGTATAGGTTACAAATTTCCCACACGAATAAAAAGGGTCGGGACCAGGACATACCCCCGACTTCAGATTGACAAAGATTGAAATATGTTAAATACAGGCACAATGTATACATAGTCCTGGGTATAGTCCAGTTAGAATATGTAATTATGTATCGAATTGATATATTCATATCATTATTATTTTTTTTATTTTTTTATTTTTTTAATATCCTGTCTTACAGTTTTACATGTTTTATGATTAATGTTTGACTAACATAGAAGAATTAAATACTAACTTTTGCTTAGCACATTTAACATTACTGTTACTAAGGGTGGGTTGCAAATCGTGTACCGGGGATTTTCCACATGAGTCAGTAAATGATGAAAATTTTCTCTGGAAATTCCGTGAATGCATAAGCCTATATAGCAGTGTTGATGCCAGCGTATTGAAAGTAGTACTGTACTACTACTCTGCTAACCAGATTCACGAAGAGCAGAATAACAAAATCCTTACACAACGCATTATATATTAATCGTGGAATATGGACGAAGAACGCGAGTTGCTTACAGTCGTCTTCAGACCGTACTTACGTGAAAATCTGAACATGACTAGCAGTTTTCTGAGTCATTTGCGTGTCGTTACAGTAATTGGTGAGTACAGTACTGTATTTACCAAAGCTGCAATAACATGCAGCCCACGCTTTTTATAGACAAATGCAGCAGGCCTACTAATGTGAATAGGCCTACTATATAAATACAATTATATTTATAGTACTCTTTGGCTGGGGAGGATTCAGTTGGGTGCAGTAGCTGTGTTTACATTCTTCCAATTCCTAATTTCGTGAAAGTGTAGTGATATTTGTTTCATTGTATAGTAAAAATTTCATTGTATTGTAAAAATCTTGATGTTAAATCTTAAGGAAACACTTTACAGGTATACTGTTCCGTATATAGTAATTTATAAATATATTTATGTCCTATAGGCCTATATATACTATTTTAATTATTTATCCCCAGTAAAGGTATTTCTCCATACCAAAGTTACTATGCTTTAATAGTATATACATTGCGCAAATATATACATTGCGCAATGCCAGAGAAAAATCCCATTTGCCTATCTCAGAGGAATCTGCGAGTATGAACAAATAGGTGCCCAAACCGGGATTCGAACCTGGGAATTTCTGCTGTCTATACAGACGCCTTACCCCGACCAACTAGGCCATTGAGGCCTGGTTGTGAATTCGAATCCGATTCAAGCATATTATAATTCGTCGCTCACATCACGAACTAACACAATCAAAGTACTGTAGATTGTGTTAGTTCGTGAAATCACAGTAGCGCGTCAAAACGAGCGCGTATTGGTTGTCAAGCAATTTTGTATTCTTTACCACACAAAAAGTCCTTAACGACAACAGCGCGTATTTTGACGCGCTTTTTTGATTTCACGAACTAACACAATTGAATTTAATTGTGTTAGTTCGTGATGTGAGCGACGAATTATTCACACTCATTCTTTATTCTTTCTTTATTTCAATTTTGAAAACAACGATAGCAATACATTCAAAATACAAACAGTGCAAAGTTAACAAAGAATACACAAATGTGTAACTTATGATAAGTAGTGGAGGGAAATTTTTCGGGATCTCAAATCCTGAATTCGATACGCTTCTCTTCACAGTGTTTCACTTAAAGGCCACTGATTTCTACTATAATAGTATAGGTTACAAATTTTCCACACGAATAAAATGTACGAGCGGTACCGTACTGGGTAAAGACAACTTGATTTCTTGCTTTGAACAAGGTATCCATTCGTAGAAGTCTTATAAAGATAAGCCTATCCAATAGTGACGTTAAAGGGTCGGGACCAGGACATACCTCCGACTTTAGAATGTATCGAATTGATATATTCATATCATTATTATTATTATTATCATCATCATCATCATCATCATTATTATTATTATATACATTATATATATATATATATATACAAACATATACATAGATATATATATATACATACATATATATGCATATATATACACATACATACATACACACACATACATGTACACACATACACACATACACACACATTATACATGTATACATTATACGTAAGCATGTTATTTAGTAAAATATATAAATTTAACGTAAAGATGTTATTTAGTAAAATAAATTTAATTTAACGAAATTATGGAAGAAGCATAGGAATAAAGAAGAATAGGAAAGAAATTTGGAGCGGCTGAAATATTTACCGAAAACAAACAATAATAATCATTCTGTCATTATTGCATCACGTTTTTGTGAAAATGTGTTGGCACTAATCGTCAGAGGTAGAGATCAGTGCTTAAACCCCACGACGTAAAAATTTGGTCGCCTGATGTTTTATCAATCATTATGTTGCTCAGTCGTTTTATTTAAAGGTTTTGGGAATTCCATATAAGCCTTTCTTGAAATTTCTGCTAAGTCTAATCGGCGCAACATAATAGCCTATTTCACGCTATTTTGTCCATGCACAGCTAGATCATCAAGACCGGTTCTCGACAAACTGCGAATGAGAGATTAACAGATGAATCGCCCTCAAGTAATAGCGACAAAGATTTCTGAAAAGAATTTTGAATAAATCATAATACATATTGAAGATAATCTTTTAAACAGTCTTGCTATAAGTACTGTCAACATGTTAGGCCTATACCCAAACCTACTTTAAAAGTGTAACAATACGTAGTCTACAACAACTATGACTAATTCTCCCCAACCTGTGTCCGTGTCCAAAATTCTACTAAAAAAATTGAAGATGGGCATGCAAGATTAAGCAAGTCCCCTTCCCAAACCACACCTATTAAACTCAAATGTTCCGCACCCACATTCAGTACAATCATGATCATGAGCTGGCTTTCCCTGGTTTTCGTCTCGTTTCGTAACAAACTGAATTTTTCTAGGGTCCATTTTCAACACTCTGTGCAGGGGCGGATACAGAATTTAAAAGAGGGGGTTCAAAATGTTTCCAAAAAAACCCCAAATGAAAGGGGGTCCTCCCCTCGGGAAAATTTTGATTCCTAGATGGCCGGAAATGAGTTTTCCTGACTTCTGAGAAGTCGTTTAATGATCTTTAAGTTCTTCAAAATTCAAGGTTTTCCCCCTCTTGAAAAAAAGGTCAGATAATTTTATCTCATTCTTTAGGCCTGCATATAGGAAAAAATCAAAGACAGTCAATATATTATTATATAACAACATTGAGTAGTTAGATATGTAGTCTTTCTTCCATGGATCGATGAACCAATAGGCCTGAAGAACGCACTTTCGTACATAAATTATTACGACGGCGAACCAAAAACAGTGTGTACCGTATAATTTATTTAATTGAAAACTAGATAGTTGGGCTAAGCCTAGTTTGTCTGATCTTTCAACCTATGCCTAGGTAAGTTAGCATGCCTTTTGTAAGCCAGGACCCAGTTGTATTTTGTTACGTTTCTTCACAGAGGGGGTTCCTTGGACCCCCTCCCCCCGGATCCGCCACTGCCGTGCACCTAAATGTGCCCTATGCTCTTTTATTTAGGAAGCTTTTGATTTGTGCGAGGACCGGACGCGACGATAGGACGGAATCACTCAAGCGTGACCGTCCTACCTGGGTTCTAATTGCCAAATTGCGTTCCAGAATCTACACGACAAAGTGACCTTAACGTTCTCCCATACGTACTTTTATTGACGTCATTCGTTCTACGTCCTACCGTCGTCGTGCAATCGAAGCTCCCTATTATGCATTGTCACACACACCTTATGTCACTCTAGTTGCCTCTGGGTCTAATAAGGTTACCCGTCTTCTACGACGAGAATGGAATAATGTACCTCATTGGCTTTTTTCATGCTTGGCGCTCTGTGACTGTAACATTGATTGAAATAGTCAAGTAATGTAGGCTTAATGCCATAAACCGGTAGTGGTCGCGGAAAATTTGTGGCGTTCTCTCCACAGAGAATTTAATTATAAGCAAAAAGAAAAAATACACTATCACCCCCACCGACCTACAAAGCAGCGGTGGCTGCAGCGGGTGGGAGGATCCCTTCTTCCCCTCCCCTGTGTATTTATCCTTATACTACTAACTAGACGCGCCAATCATAGATTCCTACTAGCAATGGTGGAAGTAAGACATCGTGTCATTTGTTGTATAATGGCTTGGAAAAACCAACGTCAAAACCGAAAGTAAAGATTTAAATCAAGTAGCCAAACAGCCAAAAACACTCAATGGTATTTTTAGAAAAATTTGTGACTAACAAAACGATTTAAGAATTCCTTTCCTTTACAGTTAATTATTCCACTGTTTAGCTAGATTGTTTGTCTATCGACAGAGGACGCTGTATAGGCCTATTAAGACGTGCGTACTGGTCGAGCGTTAGTAAATTTGTGATATTATTGCTGTCTAAATTTTTTTTTTTCTATTTCTTTCAGCTTAATGATTGCTTGCTGTGCTCGCCGAAAATTATGGGGAAAAGCCCCTTCCCGCCCCCGCCCTAGCGCTGCCACTGCTGGTCGGAGATTGTCAGACGACACATTGTAGAAATACGCATTCAGAGCTGCTAACTGTATTTTGTTTTCTTCGGTGCCCCTGAACTACTCCTGGGGCCGGGTGGCTATTTCCCCAGCCGCCAGTCCTGCCTGTGTTTCTAATTGCTACTTTTGCTCTGGGTGTAAAGGCCTAATTTTGATACGAGAAGAAACTACTTAAATTGGTTTACCGAATTATCAAGTCGATTTGTTTTGTAGGGCCTTTTATTTTTTATTGCCAATAAAGCCATAAAATAAATAGCCTAAAGCCAAAGCCACAAAAACTCTCCCCATGAACCCTTTCCATATTTTTTTTATTCCGGGACCCTGACCGAGACTGAAGCCTTGGCTCAGACCCCGATGTCGGACCCCCTATCGCCAAATTTCTGGAGCCAACCACTGCGCGCCACCTATTTTAATCATCATTAACACCATCATCATGCTCATCATAATTATATTTTTATCATGCATGTTATTAACACACTTCGCATAATGCGAAAATGCGTATTTCTGAGCATCTACCGGTACTTGAACCCACTTCCACTCCAAATTATTTAATTGCATTCGCCCCTTTTCAAAAGCTGGATCCGCCCATGTTGAATCAAGAAAGATCGAAAGAGATATTTCACGTGGTGGTCGGACGTTTTCGAATCTGCGACAGAGTAAATTTGACCCAATACACAATGTCCTGTATTGACGTTTAATCATATAGGCCTATTAGTATGTCTCAGGCCGTAACGCTAATTACATACGCAAATAACTAAATGGATAAAAATACGACAGGCCTATTTTTTCTATGCAAACGGCCTCTGGGCTAGTTGAATTCAAATCTGATTGGAAGCAATGGATTTCACAGTCTTTGCACAGGGAACAGCATTAATTCTCAAAGAAGTCTATCCATTACCCCTACTGGCAGTCCCCCCCCCCCCCCCCCGTCAGTTAAGTGCTGGTGCGCCATTACCGTAATGAAATATCCTTTTCATTTTTCAAAAAATAAACCAAAAATCAATCACATTATATACAGGTGTTACGTACTTTGTGTGTGTGGTAGGTGTGTGTACGTGTGTGTACGTGTCATTGTGTATTCAATGATAACATAACTGGCCTTATGACGACATGTGTTGTCACGGTGATAAAGTGACCTATACCTATTACATCATTTCCAATGTACCGCGTCGACCATAGGCCTGGCATGTTAAATATCCTGTCTTACAGTTTTACATGTACGTTTTATGATTAATGTTTGACTAACATAGAATAATTAAATACTAACTTTTGTTTAGCACATTTAACATTACTGTTACTAAGGGTGGGTTGCAAATCGTGTACCGGGGATTTTCCACATGAGTCAGTAATTGATAAAAATTTTCTCTGGAAATTCCGTGAATGCATAAGCCTATATAACAGTGTTGATGCTAGCGTACTGAAAGTAGTACTACTCTACTCTGCTAACCAGTTTCACGAAGAGCAGAATAACAAAATCCTTACACAACGCAATATATATTAGTCGAGGAATATGGACGAAGAACGCAAGTTGCTTACAGTCGTCTTCAGACCGTACTTACGTGAAAATTTGAACACGACTAGTAGTTTTTTGAGTCTTTTGCGTGGCGTTACAGTAATTGGTGAGTAGGCCTACTGTATTTACCGAAGCTACAAACACATGCAGCCAACGTTTTTTATAGACAAATGCAGTACTAATGTGAATAGGCCTACTATATAAATACAATTATACTTATAGTATTCTTTGGCTGGGGAGGATTCAGTGGGGGTACAGTATCTGTGTTTACATTCTTCCAATCCCTAATTTCATGAAAGTGTAATAATATTTTTTTCATTGTATTGTAAAGATGTCATTGTATTGTAAAAATCTTGATGTTAAATCTTAAGAAAACATTTTACAGATATACTGTTCTGTATAATAGTAGTGTATAAATATATTTAGGCCCTATATATTAGGCCTATATATACTTATTGTAATTATTCACACTCATTCTTTATTCTTTCTTTATTGCAATCGACAGCAATACATTCAGAAAACAAACAGTGCAAAGTTAAACAAAGAATACACAAATAAAGAAATCAAATTAAGAAGAAAAATTAAATAATAATAATTTTATACAATAATTTTTTTAAATTATTAAATTAATTAAAACTCCATGTAAAATACTAATAATAATAACTTACATACATTGCAATTTATTTAATTAAGTTGAAATATAAAAATAAAGGGTAATATGCAATTTAATGTATATATACACTAATTTTCCCAAATCATAATCATCACACATGCGCATTTGTAGTTAGACAACACTAGTACTTGATGCATGTAAAATAACAGAAAAACAGAGATCAACTTGATACGCCCTCTTTTCGTAAGTATTTGACAAGACGAGTTATCCAAAAACAAAATAAAATTATTAGCATTACCGCAAAACACGATTTAGAGTTTATCTCTATCATATCATGATATATATATATATATATATATATATATATAGTCTCTCTTATACAC